TTTCATCTCTAGAAGGAGTATATGAACTCTGTCTATTCAAAATATGTAATTGCAGATCATTTCATGAAATGTGAAAAATGACACTTTTTGACAGAAATGGCAAGGGGTTAGCCTATCATTTTTGTCCAAAATTCATAACTTTGCAATTTGCCCATTTTTATATCTTTTCATCTCTAGAAGGAGTGTATGAACTCTGTCTATTCAAAATATGTAATTGCAGATCATTTCATGAAATGTGAAAAATGACACTTTTTGACAGAAATGGCAAGGGGTTAGCCTATCATTTTTGTCCAAAATTCATAATTTTGAAATTGCCCCATTTTTATATCTTTTTATCTCTAGAAGGAGTGTATGATATCTGTCTATTCAAAATATGTAATTGCAGATCATTTCATGAAATGTGAAAAATGACACTTTTTGACAGAAATGGCAAGGGGTTAGCCTATCATTTTTGTCCAAAATTCATAATTTTGAAATTGCCCCATTTTTATATCTTTTTATCTCTAGAAGGAGTGTACGATATCTGTCTATTCAAAATATGTAATTGCAGATCATTTCATGAAATGTGAAAAATGACACTTTTTGACAGAAATGGCAAGGGGTTAGCCTCTCATTTTTGTCCAAAATTCATAACTTTGCAATTTGCCCATTTTTATATCTTTTCATCTCTAGAAGGAGTGTATGATCTCTGTCTATTTAAAATATATAATTGCAGATCATTTCATGAAATGTGAAAAATGACACTTTTTGACAGAAATGGCAAGGGGTTAGCCTATCATTTTTGTCCAAAATTCATAATTTTGAAATTTGCCCATTTTTATATCTTTTCATCTCTAGAAGGAGTGTATGAACTCTGTCTATTCAAAATATATAATTGCAGATCATTTCATGAAATGTGAAAAATGACACTTTTTGACAGAAATGGCAAGGGGTTAGCCTATCATTATTGTCCAAAATTCATAACTTTGCAATTGGCCCATTTTTATATCTTTTCATCTCTAGAAGGAGTGTATGAACTCTGTCTATTCAAAATATGTAATTGCAGATCATTTCATGAAATGTGAAAAATGACACTTTTTGACAGAAATGGCAAGTGGTTAGCCTATCATTTTTGTCCAAAATTCATAACTTTGCAATTGGCCCATTTTTATATCTTTTCATCTCTAGAAGGAGTGTATGAACTCTGTCTATTCAAAATATGTAATTGCAGATCATTTCATGAAATGTGAAAAATGACACTTTTTGACAGAAATGGCAAGGGGTTAGCCTATCATTTTTGTCCAAAATTCATAATTTTGAAATTTGCCCATTTTTATATTTTTTCATCTCTAGAAGGAGTATATGAACTCTGTCTATTCAAAATATGTAATTGCAGATCATTTCATGAAATGTGAAAAATGACACTTTTTGACAGAAATGGCAAGGGGTTAGCCTATCATTTTTGTCCAAAATTCATAACTTTGCAATTTGCCCATTTTTATATCTTTTCATCTCTAGAAGGAGTGTATGAACTCTGTCTATTCAAAATATGTAATTGCAGATCATTTCATGAAATGTGAAAAATGACACTTTTTGACAGAAATGGCAAGGGGTTAGCCTATCATTTTTGTCCAAAATTCATAACTTTGCAATTTGCCCATTTTTATATCTTTTCATCTCTAGAAGGAGTGTATGAACTCTGTCTATTCAAAATATGTAATTGCAGATCATTTCATGAAATGTGAAAAATGACACTTTTTGACAGAAATGGCAAGGGGTTAGCCTATCATTTTTGTCCAAAATTCATAACTTTGCAATTGGCCCATTTTTATATCTTTTTATCTCTAGAAGGAGTGTATGATATCTGTCTATTCAAAATATGTAATTGCAGATCATTTCATGAAATGTGAAAAATGACACTTTTTGACAGAAATGGCAAGGGGTTAGCCTATCATTTTTGTCCAAAATTCATAACTTTGCAATTGGCCCATTTTTATATCTTTTCATCTCTAGAAGGAGTGTATGATCTCTGTCTATTTAAAATATATAATTGCAGATCATTTCATGAAATGTGAAAAATGACACTTTTTGACAGAAATGGCAAAGGGTTAGCCTATCATTTTTGTCCAAAATTCATAATTTTGAAATTTGCCCATTTTTATATCTTTTTATCTCTAGAAGGAGTGTATGATATCTGTCTATTCAAAATATGTAATTGCAGATCATTTCATGAAATGTGAAAAATGACACTTTTTGACAGAAATGGCAAGGGGTTAGCCTATCATTTTTGTCCAAAATTCATAACTTTGCAATTGGCCCATTTTTATATCTTTTCATCTCTAGAAGGAGTGTATGATCTCTGTCTATTTAAAATATGTAATTGCAGATCATTTCATGAAATGTGAAAAAATGACACTTTTTGACTTTTGTCCAAAATTCATAACTTTGCAATTGGCCCATTTTTATATCTTTTCATCTCTAGAAGGAGTGTATGATCTCTGTCTATTCATAATATGTAATTGCAGATCATTTCATGAAATGTGAAAAAATGACACTTTTTGACTTTTGTCCAAAATTCATAATTTTGAAATTTGCTCATTTTTATATTTTTTCATCTCTAGAAGGAGTATATGAACTCTGTCTATTCAAAATATGTAATTGCAGATCATTTCATGAAATGTGAAAAATGACACTTTTTGACAGAAATGGCAAGGGGTTAGCCTATCATTTTTGTCCAAAATTCATAACTTTGCAATTTGCCCATTTTTATATCTTTTCATCTCTAGAAGGAGTGTATGAACTCTGTCTATTCAAAATATGTAATTGCAGATCATTTCATGAAATGTGAAAAATGACACTTTTTGACAGAAATGGCAAGGGGTTAGCCTATCATTTTTGTCCAAAATTCATAATTTTGAAATTGCCCCATTTTTATATCTTTTTATCTCTAGAAGGAGTGTATGATATCTGTCTATTCAAAATATGTAATTGCAGATCATTTCATGAAATGTGAAAAATGACACTTTTTGACAGAAATGGCAAGGGGTTAGCCTATCATTTTTGTCCAAAATTCATAATTTGCCCATTTTTATATCTTTTCATCTCTAGAAGGAGTGTATGAACTCTGTCTATTCAAAATATGTAATTGCAGATCATTTCATGAAATGTGAAAAATGACACTTTTTGACAGAAATGGCAAGGGGTTAGCCTATCATTTTTGTCCAAAATTCATAATTTTGAAATTTGCCCATTTTTATATTTTTTCATCTCTAGAAGGAGTATATGAACTCTGTCTATTCAAAATATGTAATTGCAGATCATTTCATGAAATGTGAAAAATGACACTTTTTGACAGAAATGGCAAGGGGTTAGCCTATCATTTTTGTCCAAAATTCATAACTTTGCAATTTGCCCATTTTTATATCTTTTCATCTCTAGAAGGAGTGTATGAACTCTGTCTATTCAAAATATGTAATTGCAGATCATTTCATGAAATGTGAAAAATGACACTTTTTGACAGAAATGGCAAGGGGTTAGCCTATCATTTTTGTCCAAAATTCATAATTTTGAAATTGCCCCATTTTTATATCTTTTCATCTCTAGAAGGAGTGTATGAACTCTGTCTATTCAAAATATGTAATTGCAGATCATTTCATGAAATGTGAAAAATGACACTTTTTGACAGAAATGGCAAGGGGTTAGCCTATCATTTTTGTCCAAAATTCATAATTTTGAAATTTGCCCATTTTTATATTTTTTCATCTCTAGAAGGAGTATATGAACTCTGTCTATTCAAAATATGTAATTGCAGATCATTTCATGAAATGTGAAAAATGACACTTTTTGACAGAAATGGCAAGGGGTTAGCCTATCATTTTTGTCCAAAATTCATAACTTTGCAATTTGCCCATTTTTATATCTTTTCATCTCTAGAAGGAGTGTATGAACTCTGTCTATTCAAAATATGTAATTGCAGATCATTTCATGAAATGTGAAAAATGACACTTTTTGACAGAAATGGCAAGGGGTTAGCCTATTATTTTTGTCCAAATTTCATAATTTTGAAATTTACCCATTTTAATATCTTTTCATCTCTACAAGAGGAGTATGAACTCTGTCTATTCAAAATATGTAATTGCAGATCATTTCATGAAATGTGAAAAATGACACTTTTTGACAGAAATGGCAAGGGGTTAGCCTATCATTTTTGTCCAAAATTCATAATTTTGAAATTTGCCCATTTTTATATTTTTTCATCTCTAGAAGGAGTATATGAACTCTGTCTATTCAAAATATGTAATTGCAGATCATTTCATGAAATGTGAAAAATGACACTTTTTGACAGAAATGGCAAGGGGTTAGCCTATCATTTTTGTCCAAAATTTATAACTTTGCAATTTGCCCATTTTTATATCTTTTCATCTCTAGAAGGAGTGTATGAACTCTGTCTATTCAAAATATGTAATTGCAGATCATTTCATGAAATGTGAAAAATGACACTTTTTGACAGAAATGGCAAGGGGTTAGCCTATCATTTTTGTCCAAAATTCATAACTTTGCAATTGGCCCATTTTTATATCTTTTCATCTCTAGAAGGAGTGTATGATCTCTGTCTATTTAAAATATGTAATTGCAGATCATTTCATGAAATGTGAAAAAATGACACTTTTTGACTTTTGTCCAAAATTCATAACTTTGCAATTGGCCCATTTTTATATCTTTTCATCTCTAGAAGGAGTGTATGATCTCTGTCTATTCATAATATGTAATTGCAGATCATTTCATGAAATGTGAAAAAATGACACTTTTTGACTTTTGTCCAAAATTCATAATTTTGCAATTGGCCAATTTTCATATCTAATGATCTCTGTCTATTCAAAATATGTTATTGATCTTTTATGAAATGTGAAAAATTACACTTTTTTTTCATCTCTGGAATTCCTCCTGGCCAAACAAGTGTAGTGGGGCTTTTTTCGGGGGTTAATATCATAGGAATAGAATACAAATGAGATAACGGTGAATATTTGTATAAAAACAGTGGGTTTATTCCTACAAATGTATGTACAGTTGTACACTCTAGTAGACATTTACAGGGTATACCACACATATTATAATGACCCCTCAATATTATTGACACGTCACTGAGCACTTGGGCCTTAAAGGGATTGTGAAGAAACCAAATTTACTGCATATTTTATTAATCAGAATGTGTTGCTAGGTAGGATAACCAATGTTTTTCCTAGCAACATATCATAATTTGGTATTGATCAATGGTCATTTAAGGGGCTATCCAAATTTGCAACGTTCGTAAGCATTGTGTTTAATGTCACCCATAAATTAATAACTGATCTTAAATGAATAAAACAATAGATTTGGAAATGTCAGGATGTCCCTTTTTTCTCCAGTTATATGTGGATGAAGACGAGTAATCTATAAGGAGTTGTCACATAGACATGTATGGCCAAGGGGGAACACCCATCATAATTGTTTTAAGGCATGTGCCTAGGACATTCCTAGGAATCAATCACACATTACAAGGTTGTAATGTTTGTATAAAGCCATTACCTTCTTGAAACTGAAGAAGATTTGCACCACATATATAAACAGTAACAACAAACCTCTTCATCAACAGTCAGTAACTGACAATGCAAATTCAAATGAACAAAATAATTTGCACACACGAAAAATAAATTGTTAATTACAATGGGTGAAAATGGATAGCTATTCAGAATTATTCATACAAACCTTTCCTGTAAAAATGATATTGGAGCCTTATTCTGGCAACGAAAAGGTGCAAAAGAATACATCCAAATTGATCAAACATGCTTAAAATTGACTTGAAATGAAACCCTGGTAATGTCTCAATTAAAATCTTCACACAAAGCATACAGAGTTATTGGTAAACAGCTTCTTAGAGCTACTGTTCGTACAGATGCCACACGATGAGTCTGAAGGGAAGCCTGGGGACCATTTCTCGAAACCGTCATAAGTCGAACTTCTTAGGCATCCAATTGAAACGTGCGTTATAGAATTAACGTCTATGGCATGTCCATGAACTTAGACTTATGACGGTTTCGAGAAACTGGCCCCATCTCCTTGATGAATTCCTGGCTCAAGGATTTGTAAAGTCTAGCTGCTTCACTCTGTCTAAATAAGTTGTATACACGGAACAACCTGCAAGGATGCAGGAGGGCTTTGCAAGCTTTCTTCATCATAACCATGGCATTACCATCATGTCTCTCCAGAAGAATTCTCACCACAGCACAACACTCTTGGTGTGAAGTCCCGAGTATGGGGGTAGTCATTTCCAATATACCAAGGGCAATATCTCCCCCAAGAGTACCGACAAGGGGGATTGATATCTCGGTGCATGCTTTTCAACCCGCGCAGTCGCTTTGATCCTCCGGATTCACCCTTGGGACCCTTGGGATGCTGCAAGACGATATGTCTCTCATTTTACATCAACAGTTAACAATTCGTTGCTAAGAAGCCTCCTTTTTAGATGCACCACATGATTGGAAGAGTCTTATTATCTCTCCAGGATAGCTGCATGGAAAGCAAGCTCATCACATGATACAGTATCCACCTTGTCCTTGTTGTGGAGCATAGATAGGTCCCTGAATCCTAGCTGGATGTCTGGAGGGCAGGCACAGTGCGCCTAGCTAGATGAGCCCTCTCATCTTCTTGTATTCGTCCAGGTTGAGGGATCTTCGGGGAGCACCCACAGGCTCTCTCTCCTCGTTGATAGCGGACATGGGACGGGAATCTATGTAAACGTACAAGTGAAGACAAGAGTGCTGGTAACACCTAGGGGTATGATATGTCATTAGTTCTTCATGAATTTTCAGAAAGAATAAGATCATTATTGCTTTATTATTCATCAAACAATACTTTTGGCATTAACCAATAATAGTCCATATTCAAAATATTTCAGATGAATTCCTGGTCTTGACTGATGAAAACAAAACATCAAGTCAGTTTCAGACCATTATACCGAATGGTTGTACGTTTTGTGCTGCACAAAGATTCAATCAGTTTAATTTTGGCCAGTACAAGAAGTGGGTTAGTGATGAGGAAAACTGCTCATGTTCCTGTTACAGCTCATTTGATGTATGTTATTTCCAAAGATAAAACAATGTCAGTCAGTAACTCAATAGTGTCTGACTGTGAATACTAGGATACTGCTAACGTATAAGTTTCACAGATAGGACATACATGACATATTCATAACTCCTGCAAAGTTCTACAGAATTTAATGTGGGCTGCAAAATGTATCTTTAAATTCAGCATCGGGTTTAGATTTTGAACAGATTACAGTCCTTAGGTAGTTGATAGCTCACCTGGTATGGAAACATCAAGGTCGATTTTAATGTCAAAGTCATGGGCCTGGAAGAGATCCTCAGAGACTTTCCTATCTGTGACCTTTGCTGGGACTGCTTCCTGGGTCAGGGAGGCAATGATATCTTCGTCCTGCAGAGACACAGAATAAAAGATTACAATTTCTATCCTGATATTTTTTTTAATTAAGAAAAGCTTTGATCATATTTGTAACACTTTTTTGGTATAGAGAAATCTGAACATTATAATTACAATCCCAAAGTAAACACAGTTCTGGGGCTTGTCTTAGAGTTGATATTAATCACAACTTATTTGCGATTGATATCAATAACTATAAGAGACTGCAAACTTGCAATCGATTAGTTAGAGGACTTGTGATTGATTTGGATCGATCACAACTCTTAATAAGACAGGGCCTTGTTCTTCTTTTTGTTTCACTTTCAGCATTATTGATCAAAAGCTTCAACTTTAACACCACATCTCATAAGCCAATATCTAGCATATTCATAATCAAGTTTGTCTGAGGAACAAGGCAACGCAGACTGTAATAAAAACATAAAGAGAATACACATTTTACATGCACTGCCTCAGTCTATACAAAAAGCTAACGGCATGGAATACAAGACAACTTTGGCTGTGATGACCTACCATTTTTTTCTTTAATTCTTCTTCTTGTTTCTTGTCCTTTTCGACCTTTTGCTGCATTAACCTTTCTTCTTCCAATCTCTTGAGAATATCTGCCGTATCTTCACGAGCCTGTAAAGGAGGAATTAGAATAAAAATATTAAAACAACTACATGGTGAGACATCCAGACCAAGTCAGAATAGAGACCAAGTCAGAATAGAGAGCAAGAGAGAGAGAGAGAAAGAGAGAGTAAAAGAGATGGAGGAGAGTAGAGGGATGGAGGGGATGTTTATGTACAAATATTTCTACAACTGGTGAAGGGCATTTACAATTATATGGTACCAATCTGCATCTGCATTTCATACCATGCTTACATAAGCTAGCTTTTCAAAGATTTACAACTTGCCAATACATAAATGACAATCCAATTATGACTAAAACATATGTTTTCAATTTGTTGTACATTGTAAACTTTCATTATTATTTTGAATACAGAATACAGTGTGAAGGATGTATCAAGGGGGACTCCTCCCCCCCCCCCCCCCCTCAAAAAAAAAATAGAGAGAGATAAAGTAATACCTTGAAACGATTTTGAAGCATTTCATCGCCTAGAACAAATTTTAAGGTGATAAAAAAGTATGTAGAGAAAAATATAAATTGAAATGACTAGCCCCCATGCATATTTATAAACCTACAATATGTCGAGGGGTTAGTGACACAAAGACGTAACTCTATTTTGAGAAAAAGTGGTTTATGTGTCACTGAGCACTTGGGCCTTAAGGAGTTAAGTCTTTGTGTTTCCTGGAAAGCCCACATTTTTCTGAACATTTCGATATCAAATACTCATTTTGGCAAAACATGGAGTTACGTCTTTGTGTCACTGAAACCCTCGATGTAATGTCTGTTGAGAGCCAGAAGGGCACATATACTTTAACACAGAGGAAATGATAGGATAGAGCTTGTTCAGTGTCTTACCTTGGTCACTAGTTGCGGCCTACAATGCCTGCGTGTGAAGGGATCTGGTGGGGCATTCTCAATCTCTTTGATCTCTTCTTTCATGGCCACCTCAGACTCTGCAATATTCCTGTTTCTGTTCCTCTGATTGATATACCTGTCAAATTTTACAACCAAAAAAAGAATTTGATAGACAAGTCTAAATAATAGAAAGGACTATTTACAAATGAATTTCATTATTTCTTCAATTTATTTTGTTCCTTATGCCAATTTCTTCAAATTCAATAGATAATGTGACAAGCATCTATATTACATGAAGGTATGAATTGAAATATATTTGAATTTGCAGAAAATTAATTTCAACTGTCAAATGAAGAACAGACGAATGAAATGAAGGTAGAGAAAATTGTAATGTACATCTTTACAAGTGTGGTAAGATTAAACATCGGTCCTTCACTATATAATTGGCACTTTTTTCTTTATTTATTTTCAATGAATTCTATTGACCTAGAGGTACAAGCGTTCAGATATAAAGCGGTCCAGAATAAAAATCAAGAACATTAGAAACAAAGACATATTGATATCTATCTATTCAAGAATCACTTAAAATATGACAATGTTAATATACAGCTTCCAAGGCCCATTGCTCTGCAGTCAATCTAGTACACTAACTGAACCCTGGACCAAACACCACACCCAACCAAAACCTTAACCTATTTGCAACTTTAACCCTAACCCTATATCTTGAATGAAATTTAGACTGAACAAATGTTTGGGTCATTAAAATACAGTGCAAATTTGAAGTAAGTTTCTTACGTGATGGCGTTGACCTCTCGGTTTCTGATCCTATCTAGTTCCTGTGCTCTTTCTTCAAGGTCAGTAAGCTTCTGAGATAACCCTTTCGCTGTCTCTTCATTTCCTTCCATCAATGCTAGGTCCTGAAAAAAGAGTAGAGTATAGTCAGCATGGATTTCGAATAAAGAAATAATGATATGGTACAAACTAAATACAGATACAGGTCACTGAAATGCAGTAAATATTAATGTTTCTTCCACTCAAACATTTAAGATAACAGAGTTAAATCAGTCTATATGTGTAGGGTGTTCTGATCATATGATATGGATTAAGAACAAGTGGTGATCCATAGAGCTTAGATCCCCAGCGGGCCTAGCAACATTTTGGAAAGAAGCATAAATAGTTTAGGTTTTTTTCTCCCATTTGCTCAAAATGTCAAGAACTTCAGTGTGAAAAAATTTAAACTAATAGTCTTTGGCAAAATTTATGAGCAAAAATGAAATAGAAGAAATGATACCAGTTTGTCAAATATGAAATTTTTGGGTACCATTGCAGCACATTTTCATGCTTCTTTTTGTAAATTTAAAAAAGAATCGTGTAAAAACATATTGCAGACAATTAGCTATTTGGCTAATCCATTCAATAAACACAGTTCAAAGGAGATTCATATGAAGACCTTACCCTTGATTTCCTCAGCTTTGTCTTCGTCATTGCATAGTTCCTAGGGTTTTTCCTGAACCTTTCTTTCTCATGCACGATCTGAATGGAAAAAGAGAAATGAACAAAGTCATAGGGGAAATGAAGGTTAAAGAGAAAAACAGTGTTTACTTCAAGTCATCAAACTCTAAAATCCCATGACTATTTTTTTTTGGTAACTGTCTGAATCATTACAGGCTTACAGAATAATTATCTTATTCGCAAGAATTCAAGAACTTTTTAAGTGGGTGGGGTATTCCAAGTCAGGGATATAATTAGAAAAAAATTAATGTTACAATAATTTGTGTCCATCTGTCTGGGTCCGGCTTTGTGTCTATTTTTCTGTCTGTCTCTCTCTCTCTCTCTCTCTCTGATTCCCTGCCTTTCTGTCTTTTGTTCAAAGACACTGTTTTTCAAACATAGCTTACGCAGGTATCTTTAAATGAAAGTCAAGAATGCTACGTTACCTTCTCAATGTCTTCTTCTTTGTACTTGTAGTCGAGTGCTCTCTTGATGATTGCCTCTTTGTGTTCAACATCGTTGATGGTGGGCAGGTCGTAGTCTCCATTGATCATCTAAAAAGAAAAAAAGACACAAAATACAATAAACGGCTCACAAAATCAAAATGACTGTCGCGACATGTTAAATTCCTACTACCATAGCAGACTTCAAAACCTGAACTATATCATGTCATGTTTCACAGAATAAAATAACAGGTGATGTTGCACTAGAATGAATATGCTTGACTCGACTGTCTGCAGGCTGTTTTTGAGACCACACACAGGCAGGTCAAAGATGGAATAAAGTTTAAATAAACTATTTTAGAAACAAATATAAAAATAAATTTGCAAATTTACATACCCCGGAAATCGATCCCGCATGGTTCATGAATTGACAAAATAGTAATGTATATAATACAATTGCGATGCAAAGGAGAACATTATTTCAAAGATCAATTAGTAAAGCGTGAATGAAAAATGTCTCTCTATATCAGTGTGAAGCCACTGGCTGGTGTCATCGATGGAACCACATTACAAGATGTTTCCAGAAACTGTTAAAAACATAGGAAAACTGGGCTCCGTTACTCTAAACCGTCATAAGTCTAAGTTCGTGGACATCCCATAGAAACGCATGTTTATTCTGATGCACAGGAGAAACTAGAAACTAGTGAAATCACAGTATCAGAAGAAATGAAGGATTGGTTGAAACTGTGAAGCTATTGTGGATACAAAGAACCTTAGGAAAACGGGCTTTAGCACTTGCCTACGTATAATAAGACTGTTGGGTTTTAATACTGATAGCCGGTGTGGTTTCACCCTAAGCAGCCACAGCCCCTGAACAGCAGATCTTCTCCCTACAAAAGCTGGCTGAAGAATGATTTATATACAAACTCCCACAGCATAGCTCAGTGCATATGAAAAGGAAAAACAGCTGGGTGCATGCCTAGCAATGCTTTCCCTATTATACTACAAGCAGAATAAATTAAAGAGCAGTGGAGCCTGGTGCCTCATTACCATAACAATAAAGGCTGCCCTTGCATTGATCAACATTCCTTGACTCTACAATGAGCAAGATTGTGACAAAGTACTGCAGTTTGCAAACAGAAAATGCCACATTCTTCCATTTCGACATTTTTTATGGTAGCTTTAACTAAGTCCACGTTTGCTTGACAATGGCAATGTTTGAAAAAATGCTGCATTACAGGCCTTTGCAAATGTAGTCTACAGCCTACAAAGATTAGGCCTAAAATATTACTGACAAGACTTGGTACCTGCGAACCACTGTTCCTGCCAAATTAAAGAATGAACACCAATAGCAATGCAACAATAACAAATCTAAACTAGATGGAATTTTGACTGCGCGCAGTCGAAAATGATGCCTCCGCCATAGAGCAATTTAAACAAGTTTGGAGTTTAAATCTCCAGTGGTTCTTGAGATATCATGATAACAATCTCAATGTATGGAATTTCATAAGTTGACCTCTGTGACCCTTGACCTTTGACCTACGTGCTCCAAAATCTAATCAGATTGTCTTCCTATGGTGATACACACTATCATTAAGTTTGAAGTTTAAATCTCCAGTGGTTCTTGAGATATCATGATAACAATCTCAATGTATGGAATTTCATAAGTTGACCTCTGTGACCCTTGACCTTTGACCTACGTGCTCCAAAATCTAATCAGATTGTCTTCCTATGGTGATACACACGATCATTAAGTTTGAAGTTTAAATCTCCAGTGGTTCTTGAGATATTATGATATGGTGATACATACTATCATTAAGTTTGAAGTGAAAATTCTCCAGTGGTTCTTGAGATATCGCGATAACGATCTCAATGTATGGAATTTCATAAGTTGACCTCTGTGACCCTTGACCTTTGACCTACGTGCTCCAAAATCTAATCAGATTGTCTTCCTATGGTGATACACACTATCATTAAGTTTGAAGTTTAAATCTCCAGTGGTTCTTGAGATATTATGATATGGTGATACATACTATCATTAAGTTTGAAGTGAAAATTCTCCAGTGGTTCTTGAGATATCGCGATAACGATCTCAATGTATGGAATTTCATAAGTTGACCTCTGTGACCCTTGACCTTTGACCTACGTGCTCCAAAATCTAATCAGATTGTCTTCCTATGGTGATACACACTATCATTAAGTTTGAAGTTTAAATCTCCAGTGGTTCTTGAGATATTATGATAACAATCTCAATGTATGGAATTTCGTAAGTTGACCTCTATGACCCTTGACCTTTGACCTACGTGCTCCAAAATGTAATCAGATTGTTTTCCTATAGTGATACACACTATCACTAAGTTTGAAGTTTAAATCTCCAGTGGTTCTTGAGATATCATGATAACAATCTCAATGTATGGAATTTCATAAGTTGACCTCTATGACCCTTGACCTTTGACCTACGTGCTCCAAAATGTAATCAGATTGTTTTCCTATAGTGATACACACTATCACTAAGTTTGAAGTTTAAATCTCCAGTGGTTCTTGAGATATCATGATAACAATCTCAATGTATGGAATTTCATAAGTTGACCTCTGTGACCCTTGACCTTTGACATACGTGCTCCAAAATCTAATCAGATCGTCTTCCTATGGTGATACATACTATCCTTAAGTTTGAAGTTTAAATCTCAAATGGTTCTTGAGATATCGCGCTAACAAACTCAATACAAGGAATTTCATAAGTTGACCTCTGTGACCTGTGACCTTTGACCTACGTACTCCAAAATCTAATCAGATCGTCTTCCTATGGTGATAAATACTATTCCCGAGTCTTAAGTTTAAATCTTAAATGGTTCTTGAGATATTGTGATAACGGTCAAACGGGACGGACGTACGGATGTACGGACGGACAACCCGAAAACATGATGCCTCAGGCACCACCTTCGGTGGCGGAGGCATAATAAAAAGAGAAATTTCAAGATAACAAATTTGTTTCAACCTATTGGCTCTCTCCGCTCCTTAGAAATAATACAGGAACACACCACTTCTACAATGCTTTAATTTGAAATTAAAAAGTAATCTTACATCTTCATGCCATCTCTTGAACTCTGTCTCTGAGAAATCCTGGTTGGAAACAAACTCCAGTCTGAAGACACGTTCTTGTGAAGCATATCTGTATACACGAGACATTAGAGTGATAATGCACAGTCATCCAGATACGTTTTTGCAAGCCATGAGATTTACCTACTTTCTTCAACTGAAACCCTTAAAACAAATAATAACAAGCGATAATTTTTTTTTTTAATTCTCAAAGGATGACATACCTTGTCAAAATATTTTATTTTGTTGAGAACATGAACATCAAAAAACACAATTTTGTTATCATCATTAGCAAGATCAACTATGGGTATCATAAGACAGATTTAAAAAAAAAATCCCTAAGGCAGAAAATCTTATACAACAAGGGATGGGATGGTACAATTATTAACACTGGGCCCCATCTAACAAAGAGTTGATATAAATCGCAACTATGTACATAAGAGATGGGAGACTGCAAACTTGCGATTGATTTGGATCAATCGCAACTCTTTATAAGACGGGGCCCAGGGGTCATTGTGAATTTTAATGTCAAATGCACTTTGACCCATTTCAAAGGGCCACTCTAACCCAACTAACATAGCCTTTCAAAACATGAATACACCTCTACTTATTAATATTCAAGCCTGTGATTTTTCAGAAAATCTCAAAATTCACCAAAAAATGATAACCATCCATTTTTTACAGTTCTCACGCTTGCTGGGCTACGCCCCTCGAAAAAGGTAATATGGTCACGTGGCCTTGATGACCCATTTGACGTCATTGTGGGCATGTCCGAATTGTCCTACAACTAAGAATCTTACATTAGGAATGACAAAATTGCTAGAAACGTACTGGGATTATCAACTGCATATTATTTTTCGAATAAAGGTCTTTTTTTCCCCAATTAATATCCTAGTTTGCCGATTTAAAGACATTTTAATGCCTAAATCACCTTCCTTTTCACCGGAGAGGCTCCAGCAGTGACGTCATAAACAGTTGCACAATACAGCTCCGAAACTGGGCTTTTTTCTGAGCGTTCTGAGTCGTCATTTTTAAAGCTAGATTCCAGAATTATTGATGATTTCTAAGAAAAATCATCATGTTCGGAATCTACGTCAAAAATTATTCTACATGTCTTTTTTTCATGTTTTAGCCCGCTTTGGTTAGAGTGGCCCTTTAAATGCTATAGTACAGGCATCAGCATTATACATGTAAATTCTTATCAAGCAGGCTTATAGAGTGGTGAAGTGTAACGTCATCAAATATCTATTTTTAGAATTTCTTCATTTTTTCTTCATTTTCCAAAAGAGCATACAAAATACTGTCCAAACATCGAAAACCAATTGAATATGTTAAGTATTTTGTATGCTCTTTCGGAAAATGAAGAAAAAATTAAGAAATTCTAAAAATAGATTTTTATGACGTCACAGCTTCGGTACTCTATATCAAGTCAAGACAATGGGAACTAATGCTTTTAATAACAACATTGAGATAAAAGTGATACTGTCTTCTACTTACTTAAGTTTGAGACCTTTGTTTGTGCGCGTGGCTCCAAGGGGGTAGATCTTGGCAGTTTCTACTACATCAATGATTTCTGCCACCTGCATGGGGAATCAAGCATAATTCACATCATGAACGATAGATTATTCATAAAAAGTAATTCTCATTCATTAGTAAATAAAGGTATTATGTTAAGGATAATGTTTTTTTCTTACAATGTTGTAAAGAAAATTGTTTTCCTGATAAAAAGAGAACAAATATATTCCTAAAAAGTCATTCTCATTCATTACTAAATAACAAGTTTTTATGTTAAGGATGACATTTTATTTCTTACAATGCTGTAAAGAAAAAATAAAATGAAATGATGATGGGAAAATAAATCATCTTTAAAATCTAAAGGTTTTAGGTCATCAACATGAGTATGTTACAAAAGAATAAAAGAGAGTGAACGTTTGATGGGGAAAACATGTCTTCAGTTTTAAAACTCTGAAAGTTGTGGTTTCTTGCAGAACCAGGCAATGTACACAACACATTTAAAGGGAGATGGTAGTCAGCTTCCATGTGCAGAAGGTCACAATTCGCTAACACCAGACTGGGTGGAAATCAAATTAATAGGTGCACAATTCTTGCACACAGTAAACCTGTGGTCAAGTTAAGAAATACCCAAGGGTGCGTTTATCATGTCTTGCCACTCAGAATCAGCGTTTCTATATGTACATATCGAACCTCACTATACGAACGTGATTTGCAGGATGTCGCGTTTATTTACTCATCACGAAAAGGCCTTGTCTCTGCGCAGCTGCTCTGCGCCGTTTGACCCAAAAAGCAGAGAGTTGCTCGCAGGTCAACTAGAGCGCGCTTTTTAATTCTCGTTTCTACTAGCACTAAGCTACTACTAACAATATTGTCACTTTCAAAATTGTAAGTTTAAAAAATCTGGCTCGATGAACAATGCATGCAAATAGCAATGAACGATGGACGAGTACACACACATGCTTGTACAACAACATGACACAGCACATGGCGCGCGCTATTTCTCCAAACCGAAAATTAGCCTGGGAAGGTCCGATTTGGATGTGTGTTTCAAAACAGCTTTAATATCATCTCTCATCTCAGAAACATGATTCTGTGTCACATTCAAAACACACTTTTTTTTTGCGTTTCAATATACCCATATCTGAAGACGTTTGAAAACAGGTCGCGTTAATCACCTTGAAAGTTTGCCTGAAAGACGCCGATTCTAGGCAAAAAAATGTACTATAAACGCAGCCCAAGTTTTTTGGAGAGTCTTTTGATGAGGGAAATGTAAGATAATGACTTTTCCATATAATGACTGTTGGCCATAAACCTGTAGGCTAATCCTGGTGATTGACTACACGTGTTATTGAGTAAACACTCGAATGGTGAAATGGTGTCGTAGTCCCATGAGAGTCCACTACTATGTGTCTTTAAAGATGAATGGTATGGAAAATAGTAACTTACTCTATAGACAGGCCTGCCATTATTCTGCCCAATACCAATACGTACAAAGCAGCCGATTGTAGTTCTGGGGAAGAAGGGCATATGAACCCACCTGAAATCAAACAAACGTATCGGGTTCCATTATACGACCGTTTTATGATGAAGGTTACTACATAATCCACAGCAGCATATTCAAAGCCAAGATATCAATTAAAAGAAGCATCTTAAGTCACAACTGCACTCGTAGAAGTTCATTTATATCAAATATTTAAAAAAAACATAGTGAAGGGCTTAAAACTAAAGCAGAGACAGAAGGTGGAGAAAGAGAGAGAGAGAGAGAGAGAGAGAGAGAGAGAGAGAGAGGGGGGGGGGGGGGAGACAGAGGTGGAGAGCAAAAGAAAATAGTTCTTAGCGAGAACAACAGTGGACAACCATAGCTCCCAGTAACCACACGTAAATACTTCATCCTTAATTAAACCTTGTTTGTAATAACATTATCATGATATTTCTAAGAAATGTTTCTCTATGAATACAAAGTACATTTAAATGTAATTTTTAGTCAGATTTAATACTTACTTTTCTATTTTATTTCTTGAAAGTCTGATCCTGTTCAGCTCTTCTTTAGTAGAAACAAATATTGTCATCTGTTCCTCGTCATCACTGAAAACATTTGACACATCATGAGAAACAATAATTCAGTAACATAACATTCAATCTAAAAAAGGGTCGAAAATTAAAATCTTCCCCGTTAGTAAGGTGTTTATAATGGTCACTATCAGCGTAACAGACATGACATCCAGACCAATTTATGGTAATTTAAGATGGTCTTAAACTAAATCAAGATTCCTGAAACATATTTTAAGAAGTGAATCAGTCACAGTGTACTACCAGTGAGAGATCCAGTAAATTTCTCAGTAATTTGCTGACTAGTTCGAGAGAAAATGGACACTTTGTAATCGTAACAGACATGACACCAAGTAGACAGGGATTAGTTAATTAATATAATGTTCAAACAGAAAACCTAATTGAGGTCTTTTGTTTGATACCAAATCAACCCAGGTAGCCAAATAATTCCTGGAGATATTGCCAAGTTAATGATTTTGGGCAAGTGAACATTTTTGATAGAACTTCCCAAATACATTTACACACATGCAACTATCTCCCCCCCCCCCCCCCCCCACATACACACACAGACACAGAAAAAAATGTATTTATAAAATAACTATGCTTAAAAAATCTTCAATTTGATTAAAGAAAATATATGAATTAAAAAGTAATTGAATCTCAATTTGTTTTAAATATAGGTGTTCATTAAAAAAATACCTGGAGACATATGAAATTGGATATACTATATCATGACTCGGTTAATTAAGCATGAAGAACAAATACAAGCATTGCAAAGTTTATGTACTGGGTAATAGTGTGATTCAGAAACAGATTAACAAAGTTTACCTCTAGAAAATTCATTTACTGGTCAATAAGAGAATGGCATCACTTACCTATCCCTGTCGGAGTCGGAAGCTTCTGAAGATGCATCACTCTCACCGGAAGATCTCGGGTCCTCATTCCTCTCCGCATCATCATCATCGTCATCATCGCCATCCGAATCTTCATCATCTGTGTATACATCACTGGCTTTCAGAAGCTCCTTCCTTGATGGTGCATTCTCAACTGCATCAAACATGAGATGATATGAATACCATTTTCTTTTAGATATTAGAAGTGAGTGAAATATCTTCTTCAAGTATACATGTTTAAAAATCTTATTAGATGATGGCATGTCCAAAAGAAACAACAGTTAATGATACAAATGACCCTATTTCTCTTTTAAGGACCTGTATTCAAAAGAAAATGTCTTTCAACATTGTTTCTTGAAAATCTGAGGCCATGGAAACATTAATGCTATTTAGAATTAGACACAAGAAGAACCTCCAGGGAAAAATTCTCTGGAGGATGACATTTGTACAAAACATTTTCAGTTCTACATAGGAAGAACACTCTGCTAGGCACCTACCCGACTTCTTTTTCTTTTCCCTGAGGGCTTTGAGATCCTCTATAGCTCTTGCCTTCTTGTCATACTTGGTTTCAATGGTCTGCCTCCTTTCCTTGCTACGGTTTTCTCTGGCGCTACTGTAGACGTTAACAGTGCTGTTGGGGGTTGGTGTAGCAGCAGCAGCAGAAGCAGCAGAAGACGGAGTATTGGCAGCTTGTTTCATCATTTCCTCACGTTTTTGCTTCTTGCGCTCTTTCTTCTCTTTCTTCAGCTTCCTTTCTATTTCATACCTGTATAAATTGTACAAAAAATAACTCTGCAGTGTCACTATCTTTTCTATGAACCTATTGTAAATACTTGAAAAGTTACCCTTTTCTAACAAGCAGTTCCATTTGTTAAATATCAAAAGCTGGCATAAGTGTACTCATCACGAAATCAAAGAAATGTTAACATCAGCAATTCCTATGCCATGTTTTACATTCTCTGATTAATCTCATCACATTAATTAATTCCATGGCATATCTTTAAAATTCAGGATTTAACAATAAATTACAATACCACTGTTGAAAAAACGGGCCCTAGTTTGATGATTATCAATCTTCTCTTAACCTCATGATTTCTTAGCTAAATACACTCTAGAACTCAGAGACGCCAAGTTCAAAGATCAGCAATGCGTGACATTTTCATGACTCGGCGTGCGAGGGTATAACACCTGTATAAGGTATAGCATTATTTCGAAATCTCGCGCGCTCATTGTGCGTGAGAGCGTTTTCAAACCCTCGAAATGCATGACGTCACGCCCAATGCATGACACTTGGTAGCTCTGAGAACATCATGTACTTTCTCTTACAGTTTGATATAAAAACTAACCCTGTACCCTTTAATTGGATCAGGGGCCGATCGCTGGCCAATAGCTGGCCGATCAGGTGAAATTGGATGATAAATTTGATCGCTGATAAATGAAAAATGATTGGAAGAAAACCCCCCAAAAGCTGATATTTGTTCAAGTTTTGGACTATCATATACTAAAAAAACATGCATAGCTGGGATTATTTTATCATTTGGAGTTGTTGTAGACCATGTTTGTTGATATTGAGTGCCTTTTCATGTTTTTGAAATTAATACTATTAGTCTAAGAGAAGAGGCAGAACATGCGAGCCGCCACTTTGAATTATAATTTAGGCACACATTTTTTTCTCCATTTTCATTAATTTTCATTAATTTTTTTTCTTCTTTTCTTTCGTCTAACTTTCAATTTTTTGACATGAAAAAATCTGTAAACATGGACTGCAACAACTTCAAATAAGAGAATTATCCAAGGTATTAGAGTGCTCAAAATTGTAAAATTTGGCAACTTTTGGAGGCAGATTAAAAAAAAAAAAAATCATCAGTTTCCCTCCCGATTTGCTGATCCGATACCGATATTGGGAGCCAAACTGCCAATTCGATCATAGCTCTAACCTACATGGTAATCTAAAACAATACCAGTTACACCTTAACAAGCAAACCGTCTTCACCTCCATGGTGAAACTATAACTGACCTTGTTCTTAGAGCATCTCTCTTCTCAGATCTGTTGTAGATGACCTGTTCTCTCTCCTTTTCTGTCATCTTCTCCAGCATTTCTTTGTCCTCCTCATCCCCGATGAAGTTCTCATCATAGCCATCAAAGAACTTCTCATCGTCTGAACCGGAATCAGAATCATCGCTCTCAGAATCAGAGACTTCTCCTACAATTAGAACACATAAAAATTAAGTTGTGAATATCATGCTTTTAAAATCAAGTGATATTTAACACCCTACTAGAGAATCAAATGTGAGTGTTATCAATCCCTTTCAATCATGTATCTTGAATTAATGCATAGTAACATTAAAAAAAACTTTCTGATACATAATTTGGAAACGAACATTCCTTTTTCCTTAAATCTGTTCAAAAATACAATTGGAAGGATAAAATCATTGCAAATGTTCTAAACATGGTATAACATTCACAAGTTATTTGGGGCATTGCAGCTTCCTAAAAAACAAACACAACATTTTGATACAATTTGTAAAGCAATAGAATTTTGAAGCTCTTTCAGGGCATTTATGGATTTGGCAAAACTTTGAAGCAGGACAGAGAGAAAGTTCATATTCTACTGCACCTTCTTCAAGTGAAGACTTGTCCGAGTCACTGATGACCCCCGATCCATCAGATGCTGAACGAGCAACTTTCTTCTTGGGGTTCTTCTTAATCCTAGACTTCTTTTTGTTGCCACCCAATGTCCACTAAATACGAAATAAGACCAAAAAAAGAAATAAACATAAAAATATTTTCCTTGGATATACATCAATCAACAAAAATGAAGTCAACAGACAAATACATGTGTACCAATATATAATGGTATTGGAGATTCATAGATATAGGGGGGGGGGAAGAAATAATTATTGCCTTATATCATGGAGAGGTGGAGAGGTGGAAAGGTGTTATGCATTTCACCAGAGTGTGGATCAAATGTCAGAGTTTGAAATCCTAGTCAAGGCACCAATAGTACTGTCAACCATAATTAAAAATGGTCTCAAACTTGCCAGACTGAAAACGTACAGATCAATTTACAATGCAAAGTAACAAATCAATATTCTGTTTGTAAAGATATATAATAATTTACACTATATATATATATACGATATAGCAAAACAGGAGGAAAGTTAAATACAGCAGAAAAACTATTTTTTCTTCTTGTAATAGCATGACACGTAAATGCATAAAGTAAGGTAAATATAATGTACCATAACACATCTGAAGATTTAGATGTTTGTGATCAACCTTAAAACAGATACACTGTAATACAAATGTTCACGAGGCATAAGGCATGTGCAGAAGTCTTAAGAGTGCAATAAATGTGTAACCTTTGCTCTACTCACATCATCATCACTCTCTGATGTCTCAGACTCAGAGTTACTCTTTTGGGATGTTGATTCCTTGGCTGACTCTGGATCTATCTTTTTCCTTTTGGCTAAAGTTAACAGTTCCTGGCAACAACAACAAAAACAAAAAGTTATTTAATAGAAGAGAGAGAGAGAGAGGCATAGAGAGACAAATTTCCACGATTAGGGTATCTCCATAAATTTTGTGTAATTAAATCTAACTGCAATCATTCTACTCTATACTATTTTGTAAAGTATTATTGAAAGCAAATATATTGAAATACGATTCTTTATATAAGACATCATGGCATGGAAGTAAACACAGATTGACATTCAGTATGTAAAACTTAAAGAAGATTGAAAATAAAAAGTTTATGTAAGACATCATGGCATGGAAGTAAACAAAAATTGACATTCAGTAGGTCTATGTAAAACTTTTTTCATGGAAGGAACAAAAATTCAGTGTTGTGACAATTGCGATTCACGGCATGTATAATCTGTGCATTTAAACCACTCGCACATGAAAGTAAAAGTTTCTCATTTTGTAGTATTGGGCAGTCACTATGGTATCTTCTCTAACTGACTTGTATGAGCAAAACATAAAGTAAAAACAAATAATCTGTCATGATAGATAACAAATCAAAATGCTCTTTTAGTTTTATCAACAAAATTGTCACCTATCAATGGCAATATTCCAAGAACAGTAATTACATTAGCTTTAGCTAACAAGTCATGGTTGTCAGTTAGATAGTTACAACTCGCACACAAGTCTAAGCCTGGCAAGGGGCAAGGATTGGCCACTGCATTATGCACATGGCACTGGCTTTTTGCTTCAAAAATTCATTCGTGAACAGATGAAAATCCAGTCACATTTTTATTATTTTTCTGGTTTTACTTTCAACAGATTTTGGCCATCCTTCCCATGACATGACCTTCCTCTATTCCATTAAAATAGTCGCCTATAAATTTTACAAAAAACAGAAGATTAAGTTAATGAAATAATTCAACATGCAACACATGAATTATGACGATGTTTTAATTATTGTTGAGACTACATGCACAGTCAAACACTCAATAGGCAGTTCACATGTACAGATACAGGCACTGAGCACACGCATTTAGACTGTGTGTAAAGTGAATGGAGAATTTACCTCTTCCAGATCCGATTCATTTTCCGATGCTGAACTATCAGAATTGATAACAGCTCTGCTCATTTTCTTACGTTTCGACATTTTAGTTGGGTTGATCACTCAAATGGGTAGAAGACGGAGTCAGAGCGAAGCAGTTATCACTTTTACAAAGCAGTTTCAGTCACAAAGGTCGGGAGTAGAGACGTATTTTGTTATCTAGCCTACTTATTTTAGCTCTAGCTAGCTCTATGCCTACCGCGCGTGCGCGTACGTACGTAACGCAGGCAGCTAGCATGCAGCGCACATAGCTGAGATATAATTATAGAGATAAATTTTTGTGTGCTAAATTTAAGAGTGTTATCATTACTACTCCATGAGCGCACGCACGAACCAAGCACAATGTACTCAAGACATAGTAAGTATGGTAGTCTCAAAGAAAATATTATTGATTAGGCGAGTATTTATTTTTTTTTAAGAGCAGAGGGAACTCCTCACGACCGGGCATGTAGAAATATATATGTATAGAAATAAATTTTAAAAAGTAAACGGTAAAATCACCTCACCCACACAAGATCCTTTTTTCAGAACCTTGGAAGACTGGTTGATTCTCAATTTGAATCCCTTGGAGAGAAAAAAAAATGAATTATTCAAATTGTTCCCTCATCCTCGATCCCCCAGTCGCCGCCAACCGAGCCTTATTAAAACTGAGAGAAACCCCTGTGGAATTCCTAAAATAACGGATTCCTTGGGAAATCAATCAGGGAATAAATATCTCCTTTCAGAATTTTGGACGGAACCAAAATGAATGGGACAACCGGGGCGAGTGTTCGCCTTCTAGCCCCCCCCCCCCCCCCCCCCCAAGTGAGAGCGCCTCCGGTGCGGTTCCAAATCACATGTTCCTGGGTAACCTGAGGACGAAAATATGTCACCGTGACCTGTACCAGGCCGTGGTGGTGCATACTTATGAACTCGACGTCTCGGCTTGCCTTGATTCAACTTTCCATTTTATTACAAAATTATGAGCGAGCTATAAGCCCAGCTAGTCAAAAGTCTGACAGTTCATAAATATTATACGAAAACTTGAGTGGCGAGAAAGGATTACACTACAGGCCCAAAAATATAAATTGGGTGCCCTACATTGTAACTAAGTTCATCAGGCTGGATTTAGGGTGCCAGGTAAAAATGTCAGAGGTAAAAATGTCAGAGGTAAAAATGTCAGAGGAAAAAATGTCAGAGGAAAACATGTCAGAGGAAAAAATGTCAGAGGTAAAAATGTCAGAGGAAAAAATGTCAGAGGTAATAATGTCAGAGGTAAAAATGTCAGAGGAAAAAATGTCGGAGGAAAAAATGTCAGAGGTAAAAATGTCAGAGGTAAAAATGTCAGAGGTAAAAATGTCAGAGGTAAAAATGTTAGAGGTACAAGCAAAAAAAATGAGTGCCGTCATAATATCTCAGCACTTTTATCACAGTCACAGAATGTCGAGACGTACAGCTACTGCATGGGCTAGTCTATTATATTCCTTTCTTCCATAATGTAAATTTGATAAATGGCTGTGTGTTGTATTTCGTACATGTCCTGAGGATATTAATACAATGTGGAAAATAGATTTTGAAATTAATTTCTTTTGTGATCAGGCTTGCATATAATGTATGAATGTCTAACATTTTTTGATATTTGAATTGATTGATATGTTAATGTTTGTGAAACGGACCGGTTTGGCCGGTGGCAGCCTACAACCTAGCCCGTGTAACGTTCCAGAGACGAACAGTCCAAACGAAGAAATGAAAGTTCTCGACAAAAGTCAAGTGTTAAAATGAGTAGTGCATTCAGTGCAAATAATTACATATAATCACGAGATATCACGAAAAGAAATATATATAGGCTGGGCGCCCCGAACTCTGCTAAAGCTTTAGCACCTCATGGCGGCAAAAGAAGTGGAGTAAGAATGAGAAAAACCAAGAAGTCGCCTGAAAAGTGAAAACTCTCTCCGAAAACTAAAAACCCGCTCCAAAAAGTAAAAGACCGTCTCGATTCAGAAGCTCATCTCCATTTTAATCCCTCCGACACGTGTGACCCCTTATAAGGGCGTGTCACTACGACGCATTGCGTCAAAATAATCCCCGGCACCATACACACCCATGTCGAAAGGAACTTTATTAATTTTGCGAACTTACCCTCCAGAGTTGAGCTTTCCGGCAATACTCATCGGCCTCGTAACTTACATAACTCTCACATTTGTGCTCTTTCGATCTTTAACTCTTTCACTCGACATCTTTATTAAATCCAAAGAACGCAAACGGGCCGGAAATATAACAATCCTGGAGGCAATTATTTGAATGATAATCGGAGCATGCATAGACAAACTTACGAACTCGCACAGAAACATTCTGAACTAGGGCACAACAGTCCTATAGTAACGATGAACCTTAACAACAAGCTACTCCCCCCCCCCCCCCCTCAAAAAAAGAAAGTTGTTTACTCCATTAACTATTCCGTTGAATATAACCCAATGTACACCCCTCTTTTTTGTTTCCCTTTTGCCAATATTGTTTCCTCCATATTTGTATTATTATGTATCCATTGAGGGTAGTCAGGAAAGAAACGGTGTGGAAGCAATCAGAAAAGGTTGATCATCTAGCATAAACATGTAAGTATTGGTGTGTAGTGCCAGGTTTTGGAGTCATCAAAATGATAAAAACTTTGGCCCAGTCTTGGTAAAGTAACAAGCACTGTACACAGAAAGATATTGATATGGAACTACACAAACATATGGCATACAAATCGGGCCTCATTTTGAAGCTGTTACTTGTCATATCTGGGATATGAAGCCATTTGAAATAGATTTTCAGGGAATACCTTTTTTTTAATGTTCTTCCACACTTGCATAATAAGAATGATAACAAACGCTCACAAATTATTGTTCACCTTTCCCCAGAACTGAACCTTCTCTTTAATTGATGTAACATGGGCGGCTTTCTGCTTTGTATCGGAGTAATTAAAGCTGCTTATTGATTTTCTCCCAGACTATTTGATACCGCAATAGTAATCGACAATATTTTATTGCAACGCGCGCACTTCGGGAATGTGATGGGTTTAGCATTGATGACATGGCTTTCTGATTTGTTTCGGAGTATCAAAATACCAAGCCCACAAGAAAATGGAATTGTCGGAAATATGCATTTATTGGAAATAACATATAATTGCCTGCCTGCTCTGCCTAGGCATTGACCACTGTTCGGAAGCAGGCGCGGATCCAGGATTTCTTAGGGGAGGGGGCCCAACTTTTTTTTTTTTTGCTCCCGAAAATTTGAAAATCGCGCCGGCCGAAAAGTCGCTCAGTGGGGGGGTACAGAGCACAATTTTTTTTTTTTTGCTCCCGAAAATTTGAAAAACGCGCCGGCCAAAAATTCGCTCAGGGGGGGGGGGGGGGGGGGGCACAGGGGGGGGGGGGGGGTAGTGAGCACATTTTTTTTTGATCCTCAAAAAAATTTCAATTTGCACCCCCCCCCCCCTTGAGCGCCAGGGGGGGGGGGGGCCCAACCCCCAAAAAAGGTAAAAATCACGTGATTTTACATTATTTTTTTCTCAAGGGGGGGGGGGGGCCGGGCCTCTCGGGCCCCCCTGGATCCACCACTGTTCGGAAGGATATATAAAGCAAAGCATATAAGAGGAAGGGGGAGAGCAGCCGGGTCACCGTGCCCCATAAGAAGAATACCCCCCCCCCCCGTCTTCATTCGGCAATAATCGGGCAAAAAGTCACAATCTGGGGCCGAAAGGTAAATAAATTTAAAATGGGAAAGTGGAAAATAAAGCGGTGGTGAAATAACGACTGCAGAATATCTCTCGCTGTACTTTTTCGATAAGCCTGATATATATCCCGGGTGTAACCATAACAAACATGATTTTGTTTTTATTTTATACCTCTAACATTTATACCTCTGACATTTTTACCTCTGACATTTTTACCTCTGACATTTTTACCTCTGACATTTTTTACTCTGACATTTTTACTTCTGACATTTTTTCCTCTGTCATTTTTTCCTCTAACATTTTTTCCTCTGACATTTTTTCCTCTGACATTTTTACCTCTGACATTTTTACCTCTGACATTTTTTCCTCTGACATTTTTTCCTCTAACATTTTTTCCTCTGACATTTTTACCTCTGACATTTTTACCTCTGACATTTTTACCTCTGACATTTTTACCTCTGACATTTTTTCCTCTGACATTTTTACACCGAGCCGGATTTAGCCCGCCGCCTTCACCTAGCATGACTAGGCCTATATACCGTCATGTTGTTATGGGCTGCAACACGGGTAGAAAACAAAAGAAGAAGAAAGACAACATTATATTTGCGTGGAAGGGCCCTATAATAGTGACTCCTCAATGTCAATTAGTAAACATTATATATTATTTACAATATAATATTATCAGACCTGAATATTATAGCACTTTCTCTTAATAATTTGAGTGCCACTTGCGACCATGGAGCTGACCTTACAATATTTATTCTTTATATAAAGCCTATACTGAATCCGATAGAAAATGATTCGATGCTGATACAAAAATCAACAAACTCTCCCTTTTGCAAAGTATTTATTTATTGATTAGGCCTATAATATTTGATTATTTTCCTAATCATAACAAAAAAAATGTCCATTTTGGGGTTCAGGTTGAGTTTTTTTCTTTTTGAATATGAACATAAAGCAAACTATATATGTAATATGTATATAATTTGTTATATGAGATATGCTAATACTCAATTCTTAATATCTGTTTACAAATAACCGTTAGTCCTTTTGTTTCATCATGACACATGCACTTTGGTGAATCTCAAGTAGTGCCACCGGCCTGTATGTATACGAGTGATCAAAACAAACTTTTTTTTATCATTTTTTTTGTTTTACTCGTCATGGCACGGTACTCAGGTGGGACTGCTTTCAATATTATTGTAAGTCAATATCTTTGCTCTGTTGTAAGCAAAGTTTAACCCTGAAAATTTATGGGGTTTCAAAAATTTCGGTGCCAACAAAGAAGTGGCGTTCTTAATAGTTTTGTAAAATTGGCTCAAGTTCAAGTTCATTTTTCTTTCAGAAATCACATGTAACAAAATATAATAAAATATAATCATACCAGTGCAAAAGTATCGTCTAGATACACTGTATTCCATAGCACACAATGTAGAATAAAGAAAGACGAGGAGACCTTGCAGGTTGAAGCACAGCTATAATGCATAGATGATCTGTATTAAATTTCTCTGCTTTTTAATTAAAAAAATATAGCCTCATTTATCAATTTGTATATGAAAGGTGCCAAATATATTCAAATAACTATGAGTGCACTGGCTAGTGCACGGAATAATTGTGAATCTTGAGTTTGAGAAAATCGTTCAGTAAAAGATGAAAACTGTAAGTTTCATGCTGGAGCATTGGAAATGAAGAAAAAGAGTGTTATTATATCATTACTCCACTGGAAATAAGCTCTCGAGCTTTCGTGGGTTATCCTGTTCAAGCTGACTTATTTTTGATCTGTTATTATTGTATATTGTTGTATGTTGGAAGCTTGTCGAATAAAAATCAATCAATCAATCAATCTACTCTGAATTTTGTGAGAGATAATAATATACAAGTATGATCGCGCGCACGTGCGGGCGCGTACTGAAGCGACCTGAAACATACCGCTCGCTCGCCGGGTCGCTCGCACGCTGGATTATATTGTTTGTTGTGATATATACGGTGCATGCGACAGCCATCGTATTCGTAATACTAGTAACCTTTGGAATTTGTCAAGTACATGCAGTACGATGCTTTTCCCCGGTTGTCTTTTGTTGTGATTACACTCAAAACATGTATTCCGTACTCGTCCGTATCCTCTCAATTCGAGATGGCAAGTCGATCTAAAAACCCTTTACCTGTTAAATACAAATCTAAACGGATTTGTGAGGAGAAATTCGACTGCGACGGCTCGAATGCGAGTTATGAGTGCCTGAATTGTGGGACAAGGCAGTGTGAACATTGCGAACAACTTCTCCACAAACCAGAAAGACTAAAATTTGCAAGTCATTTCAGACGAAAAATTGAGCAACTCCCTTGCGCTGTCGAATGTGCTCTTTGCCCGTATAAACCTGCAGAATTTTCCTGCTTGGAGTGTAGAACTGTAATCTGTAGAGATTGCAATAAGGAGTATCATCGGGGGAAGTTAACTGGACATCGCCGCACTCCTCTACCAAAACAAAAACAGGACAAAGAGGTTTGCAATACAACAACGCAACATAGCCCAACCAGCGAAATGAATCCCTCGAAATCTTCGCCAGAGAACTGTCTACCTATTTCTCCATTTCTCGATTCTTTGAGTGAGCCAACGCCATGTGAAATTAAGGAAAGACAAACTACAATCCTAACGGGGGATATTTCATCCTCTTCTGCGGGGCTTAACCTAATCGACGAGCTAACCCTCGATTCCGACTTTCATAGTTTGACAATGACGGACATGAATACGAAAACTTCGCTATCTTCTCCAGATGATAACGACATAGAAAGGGATGAATTCCTTTCTTTGGAAAGTGTGAGCAGTAGCCCAAGTGGACCAAAATCTTTGGAATTTCTCTCGGGTCACTTTGAGGGCTTAGAGAGACCCTCTGTTGCGCAATCGAGTGCGATAGCCATACCCAAGTCACCTGAGAGCAATGTTAATAGAAGCGCAGGTACAGGTGGCATGACGGTGACGCATAGAACAACACGGACTCACAACAAACCCGGAAGTGGGAGGACTGTCAACAAACCTGGAGCGGTGCTGGGTGATCTACCAAATCATGGGCAGAAAATAATGACATCAGGGAATTCCCCAGTAACTCATGGGATTCAGTCCAAAACAGAGGACAATTATCAAGATAATAAACTCTTGGATCAAACTGCATCTCCCAGACACTCTGAGTTCTTCAGGTCGAATTCTGGATCAGGAGAGTGGACCCCTCCTCAACCGTTGTCACATAGCTTGGAGAGCTCTGGAGGGAGGAGGAGAATGGAAGCTATTGTTAAACCTGTAGGGAGTGTGAAAGCTGTACCATCATCATCTCCAAGAGAGAAACGGGTAGAGAGCCAAAAGAAGAAGACTGCATCACCAGCACCAATGAAGGGGCCTGCAGACTTTGAAGCTGTGGAAGATGAAATTGATCTTGTTGATCCTGATCATGCAAAGGGCTTTCTGCTTGTTGATGATTCTGAGACACTTCAGGTATAAAAAGAGACTTATTCATTTTGTTAGATGTTATTATTTATCCAAGCATGTGAGATGGGTGAATAACATATCGTAAATGTGGAAAATAATCGCTCAAATTCATTAGTTCAAAGTAACCTGTATTTGTTTCTTTAAGAGAGAGAGAGAGAGAGAGGGAGAGAACTAGAGCAAGAAGAGATAAAATTGGTATTCTGAAAGTACTGATGTGTATATTCTCTTACTTTAGTTGTACATATTTTGCCTTTTAATCAATCCATTAAATCATTTACGATCCAGGTGAACTCTGCCGAGGCATTGGTGGCGAAGTTAAAATGCGCGTTGAAGACTCCTGTCAAAGTAGTCTCCATCTTCGGAAACACAGGGGATGGCAAATCACACACCCTCAACCACACCTTCTTTGGAGGACAGGAGGTATTCCACACCTCACCTACCCAGGAATCCTGCACCATCGGTGTGTGGACAGCCTACGACGAAAGAACCAACATCATCGTTGTGGACACGGAGGGCCTGCTCGGAGTCTCTACTAATGAGAACAAGCGCACGAGGCTCCTGCTGAAGGTGATAGCCATCTCGGACGTAGTCATCTATCGCTCAAGAGCCGATCGGTTGCATCGGGATCTGTTCCAGTTCCTTGGGGATGCGTCAAAGGCTTACCTGAAGCACTTTACCCCGGAGCTAAAAGTAACATTGGAAAAGTGTAACATCAAAGGACCAGTGTCTACGCTTGGGCCAGCAGTTATTGTGTTCCATGAGACCACCCATACCCTTCCTCTAGGCGCAGGTATTTTGACACAAAATAAAACTTTTTTTATCCCTGAAAATTTGCATTCCACTGTGGCCGAATTCAAAGTAGTAATGCTGCTGCTGTTGTTGTTGTTGTTATCGTAGTTCTTGTTGTTTTTGTTACGATTTTTATTATTATTTATTAATATTCTTATTATAATATGAGTATTTCAACAATTTTGATAGCTTTGAATACATGTATTATTATTGTTTTTCATGATGGGGATGATTATGATAAAAGTAATGATTTGAAGTAATAATAATATTATTGATAATCTTTTATTATGATTATGATTTGTAGTTTTGTACGACTATTATGTAACTTCTTATCGTATCAAAGAAACTCCAGCCATTTCTGAGAATAGTAGTTCACTTAAATTCTTTTTAAAAAACATCTGAAAACATACCTCTGCAATTCTTATTTTGTCTTTTGATTAAAGGAACAGCTCCTTGTTTAATCTGGAAAAGGAGCTATATAAATGCAATTATTATTATTATTTAAAGCTGTACAGTGATATTTGTCCAGCTTCAATAGAAAGGAATAGTACTCTGATACATGTAGTAAACCTAAATGTATGTTATCAATATGTGAGAACCCGACTCTGACCAGGCAAATTATGCTAGAACCATGGCACCTGCATGAGAATACACCAGATGTTAAGCAAAGAAGGGCTGATTTTAAGACTTGTGAAGACACAAAAGATAGCATTGTAAACAAAATGAGGGATGAGCTTAAGCCTGAGAAAAGTAACAGATGTCTCTATTATTGAGGCTTAATTGTAGCTTCACTAGCTTGTAAGTTATCTAGTCTAGTACAGATTAAGTATTTTATATCCGGACCTAAATATTTTCTTAGCTCTCCTGCATGCACAATTCAAAAATGTACTGGGAATCCTATTACTACTTGAATCAATTAAAAACAGCTTAGTATGAAGTCAGAAGTATTTTAAAAAACAGGAGTGAGCAAATGTGCTGTCAGCAAAAAGAAGTGTCCATAAAAGCTTCAAGTTACTTGGTAACATTGCCTCAGATTCTGAAACAAAATTTTGTATGTAGCTCATGCCTCAATCATGTATCAATGATTTTTAAATGACCTGCTTGCCCCATGCAAGCAGGTTTATTATGAAAATAGTATTCTCAAGTTGTCTTCAAATCCCAATCTCTTTCTTCATGTTTGTAGTTCAGCCACAGAGGAGCAGTGGAGGGCACAAGTCAGCAGATACCCTCCTTCAAGAGCGCTTCAAGGAACATGGATGCCACATGGATGCCTTCAGCTGTCTGCAGTACATCGGTATCCAGACCATCGAGCCTCCGACCAACTTCAAGACACTGAAAGAGGCCATCCTGACTCATGTCTACAACAGCACTGTTCGATCTCCGAGGTCTCCCCAAGTTGTGTATCTTGCATTGAAGGTGAGCAGTGGTGCCATATATCATACATCATTCTATGTGATAAGAGATTATTATTTTGTTTCTGAAAATTGGGGGCTTGATATCTGCAGTTTGTTCTTTCTATCAATAGTAGCAATGGCTCAATTTAATTCAACTATGTTTTCTGGGGTTTTCTTTATTGTATAAAAACTATTACCGTACCTAGAACGTACAATAATTTTGGAATGCTGACTAATATGAATATTTAATACATGTAGGCCTACAATGTATTTTTTAACATGATAAAAAGAGAGTTCATTGAGAAAATACAATGATTTTCATATTATAAAGATAACCTATGTCATAATGGTTGTGTTGCCACCCCAAAAAATGACTCACCATAGTTTAGAAGAAAAAAAACAAACATACATGTACATGTAACTTGTATGTGTTCCTTTATATATTTGTATCACTTATACCACTTGGTAAATGATCCACCAACATCAACAGCAAACACATCTTGCCTTCTTTTCCTTCATCTTTAGGGACTGAATGACAAGTTCAGTGGTACAATCGACAGAGATGTTCCATCTCCCTTCCCTGATGAGTATTTCACCTGTTCCACCCGCTGTCTCTCATGCAATTCTCGCTGTACCAACACCATGAACCACAGCCAGGATAACATCATACATGAGAACACATCGCGTTGTAAATACCAGCATCAATTTGACAACAGGGTCTACATCTGTAAAGTAAGTTTTTAACCTGTTGAAAATTGAATTATCTCTTTCCACTAGGCTTAAATGATGTATATATATATATATATATATATATATATATATATATATATATATAGTAGTTCTTTAATTTCTTTTACTCAGCGGGTCAAGGCATTCATAAGAGTATGATGTAAATGATAATAGTGTGAATGCATAGAAAATAATGTTTTTAAGACTTTTAAGAGTTTGTTTTTAAATTGTGTTAAAGGTCTTTTCATCATAGTACCAATATTCTTTTGAAGTAAAAGCATTAGCTACAAAATGTGTAAACAGTATACAGTATATAATGTATTAATTATACATACATTTTATCATTGGAGAATTTAGGTCTCATGAGATATTGAGTAGTATTTTTGTTTGTATTTGTCTCATGTCATCATTCGTTAGAAATATAAATACTGTTAGTTTCATTACGAAGCTCGTGATTGTGCGTGCGAGTACAAAGTCTGATTTGAAGGTGACCTTGGGGTCAAAGTACATACCGATTAGTGTTCATCATGTTTGGTTAGTGCGAGAAGAAGCCAGTTTATAAACAATGATTAATAAACATGTGGGCATCTTGCCATGGATGATTAATATTTCAAGAATAGAAATTGATATAGCCCAAGACAATTAGCTCCATTTCCCTCCCCATTGGATGAGTGGAGTATTCAGTGACACCAGACACCATATGATTGTACAAAATATATTTTAGGTGTTCTATAAAAAACATTATACAACACCTACATGTGCATGGATCCTTGTCATTTGATTGGAGGATCGTTGGTCACATGATATTCAATAGATGTTATATTGCACGAGCGTGCATTTTTGGTTACCGTATAAGCGCCATGCATTTTTGGTTATATGCAGATTGCGTACCTCTCTGCCGTGCGTGTATCCCTGCGTGTATCTGACGCGAAGGCAATCTGAATGTAATCTAGAAGGCTTGACTCCAACTTTAATTTATCTTTAATATAAGGAGTAAAGGAGTAATTTGTTGATTAACATTCTATTAGATCTTCTTCGATGTTGTATAAAACAAATAATGAATGTTTTTCATTCGTTTAATAGTGCAATATTTTCATTCAATGAAAGATTAACGTTAATTCTATTCAACTCGGCAAACCCCTCGTTGAATAGAATGTTAATCTTTCAACTCATGAAAATATTCGCACTATCGAACTCATAACCATTCATTATTTGTATAATATGGTTGAGAGTTAGCTATAAAATGATAATTGTGAAGTCACTGTAATGAAGAGGTATTATTATTGTTTTGCTAATGACCTTGTTTTTAAAGCCTGTCCATATGCTAGAGATGAAGATTTATATGCACTGTTTGATTATGAATCGGACATTTACTGCAGACAAATTGCTGCATGCAATGACTTGTACTAGTTGTAGATCTATAAGATACAAAAAGTATCGGTCATTACGGAGAGAGTGTGTGAGGCATCAGCATTTCAGTACAAATTTTCATCAATAATTTTATGACATATTTTGTTTCCAGCTGAGACATTTCATACCAGCTCATTGCAAATTTTGGTGCCTTGAGTCAAAGCAGAGCGATATATAAATATGGTATTGGAATGGAATATGAAACTGTTATTTCATTTTTTTTTTAAATACAGAGTTGCTATCAGGGTGGCCAAGAGGTAATGGTAGTGCCAAAAATGTGTTCAGCTACAGACAACTCATGGATGGGCATGATCAAATATGCTGTCTCTGGGTAAGCTCTGGTTGATTGTGGGATAGGAGAAACCCTGTATGCACAATGAAATTGAAGAATATTAAATTATAAAATAAAGCAATTATAGAAATTAAAAAGCAGAAGACAAACATGAAAAGTAAAAAAATTGGATATAAATAAAATTAAGAAATTCTTAAACTGGTCTTTCTGACTACTTGTAAATAACTGCTAGTTTTGAATATCCATAACAGTGAATTCAGCTTCTTAAAATTGTTTACAATTATCAAAATTCTACTAGCTTTGAATTTAATCACAGATAAATTGTAGACCATATCAATTATCTACAGCTTATAAACATATTGTTTCCAATTTTGATTAGGTTTGTGTTGGAGTGTCCACACTGTGGTGTCATCTATCGGAGTCGTCAGTATTGGTATGGCAACCAGGAACCAGAGATGGATGCAGTGAGAACAGAGATACGCCATGTTTGGCCAGGGGTAAGATAGACCTACTCCTTTGGCCAAAATTCACATAGATTTACTTAAAACCCTGGTTTAAATGTGCATAAGCATTGTAGGGTACAATGGATGGACAATACTGGTATGTGCATAGATGCAGGTTGTAGTCCACGATGGGGGTTTCAACCATAGTTTAGAATTTAGATCACCATAGTGAATGTAAACCTCCTTTATGAATTTTGACCTTTGCCATTAAAACAAAGAAATTACCAGATCAGTTATATCCCACCGCTGCCACCATGCAAATAATGAATGATCTGACATTTGCTCTGGCGACAATTGCTCTGGACGTTATTTGTCAAGAGCGTAATGTTAGGGTTGCAGTTAGGTTTTAGTCTAGGTTTGGAGTTGGCTACAGGGTTGAAGTTTGCAATTCTGTTAGTGTTTGAAACTGACGACATAGCAATTTTCGCATGAGCATGTGTTACATGGCTTTATATTGGCTTCCTCATTTTGAAATGACAGTAGACATCAAAAGGATGTCCATGTCTTTATTCTTTCAATTTTATATATATATATAAACAAATTTCTTTGATTAATATCTACAATCTGCAGCTTGTGTCTCTTGTATCATCTCATACATCATCTCATACATCATTCATGGTTTGTAGTTTTCATTCTCTTTTTCAATTAAACAAGATAACTTTCATTGCTCATGAAGTTCAAAATGAACACTACCATTGTATTCCATCTCTTGCTTTCCATACAGGGTAGCACGGTATTGCAAGGAACACACAACGCAGGGCGACGTCTGCTGGATGGAATACACCAGGTGGTCGATGTGGTCAGCAGTGTGAGTTCCAAACCTACAACTATAATGTCACAATGGATGATGGACCAGATCGCACCACCCTACTGGAGACCAAATGCAGAGATCACTGTAAGATGATAACTCTACTTGATATTGGTTCAGTGTCTAGTATTCCTCTGATTATTTCATATTTGAGCTTCATAGTTACTCAAAGTGCTTCTCTGCCACCAGATTTTGTATTTGTTATCAATAGTCATCGAGAACTTACAAATTTTCATTTGGATTTATAATGCTGCTGCTCATTATTTGGTTCAATATATCCCATATAAACAATGACAGTACATGTTTCTGTTTCAGAAAGAAAATAAAAGTGAAGTTTAGCTCGAGTCGTTGTTCAACTTTTTGGGCGGGATTTGCCTACCACAGCTTGGAAGAGAATGAATTAATAGCGGATGATTGTGTTATAATATAATTTCAAATTTGAACTGCTTCCATAGACACAGTTTTTACATATACTGTGGTTATGATAAGTATGATAAATGTATTCATCATCCTCTAAGCTGTAGCCCATTTACTCCCTCTTCACCGTCAGGCCTGCCTTCAATGCTCCAAGAAGTTTGACGAGACTGATAAGCTGCATCACTGCCGGGATTGTGGGGAGGGGTTCTGTGACGAGTGCTCACAGCACAAGCTACCGGTACCAGAGAGAGGATGGGGACCCAAGCCTGTCAGAGTGTGCGATGGATGCTATGGAAAAAAGACATCAGGTACGACTTTGTTCATGATATACAGATAGTGGCTGTAGCCACATGCTCTTTTGTTAAAGCATGCTGGAAGGAAATGGTTTAGTTTTAAGATGTGCATGGTTTATTAGGTTTATTGTGTAAAACATTTCAAAATCGTTTTCATATCATAGCATTCTTATTGAGATCTCTCTAAAATTCATTTTCTGGTTTACTCAATGTCAGATTGCATGCCGTGAATAGCAAGTTTCTGTTGGGGGGGGGGGTCACACCATACACCTATTTGGTCTGTATGTCTGACAGGGACAACAATGTAAATGTCCAGTGGATTTCAAAAGACCTGCTCCTGTGAGGGAATGCTCTCTGATATCAGTCAAGCTATGCTCCAAGTAAACTCCAGTGGAATGATTCCCTAGCATTTTTAGTTGTTGCTCATAGGACAGTTGTACCCAATTGTGAATGCCACCAAGTCCTCTACAGTGACTGCCTTTAAGCTTATGCAGCAAAACGTAGCAATGGCAGTCTCCAAACACGAGTAGACAGTGCAATATGAAATGTACTTTTTCCTTTTCAACCTAGATGTTGGTGGTGGGAAGATGCTGACAGAAGATATCCAAGCTGAGTTAGAGAATGCCATGAATGATGAGCCTCAGCCAGTCATAGCTAGAAAGGTTGGAGAAGTCCTTCAGACAACATTAGGTGTCCTAGGAACTGCAGTCAATTACCCTGCAGGTGGGTCATACAGAATAGATTGATAAATTGCTTGATTTTGAATGATTGATTGATTGATCAGGTGGCGGGAAAGACAGATGGTTGGGTGGATGGATGGATGGAGGGACGGACGGACATGTAGCTCATAGTCAACTCACTCAGCCAGTGAGTCATATTACAAAATGAATTGATTAGTTGATTAATAGACATTATGGTCGATTAGTAGATTGACTGATGTGGTTTAATCTGCGAGGGTTCTCCAGAATCCCTTACCTGTTTGGGTATTTCAGTCATTTACCTCACAGATGAAATAGATGAAATGTTCATAATTATAATCACTACATGCTCTGATGATTTTTATGTAGCAAAGTTATCAGTCCTATACTAACTCAAATGTAAGTTGTGAGCTTCTAATATTAACAAAGTAATTTTTGGTCTCCCAAACCAATAATGTATACCTTTTCAATGTGTTTTTTTCATCAGGCATGCTAATAGAGGCTGCCAGGCCAGCCTATTGGATCCCTGATAGTGAGATCACCCACTGCATTGCCTGCAAGGAGGAGTTCAACCCTAAGCTCAAGATACACCACTGCAGGGGCTGCGGACAGGGTGTGTGTGCGGAATGCTCCTCCAACAGAAGACCAGTGCCCTCTAGAGGCTGGGACATGCCAGTCAGGGTGTGTAGTCTGTGCAATGCCAAGGAAGGACAACTCTGAATTGCCAGTTGATGACGAATGGGAAAGGCAGTGGTGGTGGGGTTCCACAGTGCTTCTGTATCACACAGCCTTGATCCTCTCCTTACCAAGTGCGGTAGGGGCGACATGGTGTTTTGACCGTTTACTTAGAATCAACTCATCAAAGACATAGTATTGGTTATATCATTCAGTATTCATGGCAAGGAGTTTGGAAGGTGGAGAGGATGGGTCACTACATAAGTGTCCCCAGGATAGGCACTTATGGAACACTAAAAACTATGTGGCATTTTTTAGAGTATCTATTAATACACATGATGCATGTGTAACACAATTGTGGGATGCTCCTCATTCATCTCATTTGGGTTAGAAAATGTTGGTCATTATCACTTGGTAGTGTTTAAATGAAGTTAACTAGACTGCTTGGTGTGAAATCAGTTTGCTCGCTAGTTCATCACAATTATAACAAGTGATGTAGCCAACGCATGATATCTATCAACTCCAGTGGAAGGCTTACAGGAGTCAGGATCATAAACTTGTTCAGATATTGTTTTGTTCTCAACATGTACAACTATATATGTACATTTCAGCACTTGTCTTCAATATTCAAGTGTCAGGCAGTTTAAAAGGCTATCAATGGCAATGCAACATTGAAAAGGGGACATGTGAATACAAAATTCAGCTTTTCAAAATAATAAAAACATTTCCTTGTTCCGATGACAACAATTCAATTCTCATTTATGTGCAATATGCTGTAGATATAATGGACGATTGGACATGTCTAAATTAAAGATGAACACTCATTTACAAATCTTGCCATTAATTTGTGTACAGTGAAAGTTGTTATACACTCTATCCCAATGGTATGGATAGTTGGATGCTGTAGAGAGAATTTGAAATCTTTGCTAAGAATCAGTGATCTGTATCAATCTTAACAAATGTTCAACACAACTGTAAAGTCACATTATACTTTTTGTACATAACACAATGTTTGGCATTTCATCGAGATAATTATGCGTTGATGTGGGTTTCACGTCCAATATTCCGATACCCGTATTTGATGACACTTTGCAAGTGAACGTAAATATTATGCATCATATATATGCGCTATATAAATATCCATATTATTATTATTATTATTATCATATATAATGTATATGATATATAGACATGTTATGACTGCACACATAGCCTACCTGTGTTTGAGCGTTAGTGGAACATGTGGTCTCAAAACTTTGGGGTGTTGGAACATTAGGGCTGCGTGAGCATACATGTACATTTAAGGGTGTAACGTCACCCCCTGAAAATACATAGCTAAATACATATATATGCAAACAAAATTATCTTGTAAACCATATATTTTCAATACTGCATAAGGTATTTTGCTGTAATTGTACATACTAAAATGCTGTTTATTTCTCACATACATCTCACTTACAGTAAGTCAGTTTATGTATGTCACATTATTTGCATACACTAGTGCAAATATCAAAGAAATATGAAGATATTTGATGGCAAAACAACATACATTGGCACCATGACTAGCAGACAATTCATTTCTATATATGGTTCGTAGGCCCTTTTTTTCATGGTTTTATATAAAATATTAGCATTCCTTTTTGTTCACTATTTTACTTCAAGTTCAAGATTAGTCGAGTTTGTATCTTCCTTATTTTCCATTGTAAATTATCATTTAATGAATTATAATGTATACATTATTTCCCATTTTGGGCATTGTAATTGTATTAATATTTTTTGACATTTCCGAAATGCTATCTGTCCTACCCCTGATAATGAAATATAGATCGATGTTATGCAATGTTAATGAAGTGTACAAATATATTGTATTAAACAATTTTTTACAGATGCGATTTGTCCTTTCCCACTTAAACAAAAATAGATGTTTAATCGGCAATAGCACCATTATAATTAAGTGACATGATGGAATTTCTCATTTTCAAATCATATTTGACCTAATCCATGAAGGAGTTGTTATCAACTTTTGTAGCCCCATACCTATAAAGTAAATTCTATTTGGAGAGTCAAGGTAACGAGAGTAGAATGCCCCACAAGTTTACAATATTATTCCAACTGTGGTTTGTGAATCATATTAAAAGCCTATTGAATGAATTTCTATTGTGATTGCAATACTTTTTAATGGCTTTATTATGGTATTGTTTACAGAGGCAAACATTAAAATAACAATCACAGACAGTTAAGCTCCTTTTTTTTTTTTAAGGGGGGGGGGGGGTGTACACGAAAATCGCTGTACTAAATGTTTAGTTGTTACTTCAGATGCATTTGGGTTCATAACAGTGAGATGAGCTCTTTAAACACCAGTATTTATCAGTGGACTCCACACACGTAATAGCAAAAACATATGCCCACATGAACAAATCACACCAGTACTAATTTCTAATTTTCTTGCAAAAATACTTTTATTGCAAATTCTTGTTTATTTGGCAGTGTACATGTGTAAAATCATCAGCTAAACAAATGTAGTTCCATATATATAACATTGATGTATATATCTTTGATAATGACATAATGGATTGCTGAGATCTAATTATATTATTACTAAATGTCTGCTCTGTATGGCATCTAGAGAGATTAAAAAGAGCCCTAATATCGCTACCCTGCTGTGTTATTTGTGTAGATTATTTGGAATGTGTATGTGACTGATGATTCAAGAAACATAATCCGATATTGCACTTTTTCATTGGCTTATAAAAGTTTTGGGTTTAAAGTTTTGATATGTATCATTCCCTACCGGATGGATTTACCTCTTTACAAACAACATCCACTTGAAATTATACATGAAAGCTAGTGAAATCTCTTGCCAAATACTTAAAAAACTAAACATTTACAAAAAAAACAAGGGAAACGCTCTCGGCAGTCTCGCCTGCATAACGCAATTCAGTATGATAAACCAGAACGTCGATGACGTAGCGCTCATCCGCATCTCACAACAACAAATATCGTAAATTTTATGTGGTACACTTTTGAACTGGTCAAAAAATAGAAATTTGATGCCCTGGAAGGGACATTATTTCATTTCATTTCATTTGCATAAAGTACCATAAATAATCAATGGAGCAAAATCTCACAATTCTGTGTAGAAGTTTATTGTTCCAAATTTAGCTCTACCAGATAAGGCAAAATCGGTCAAGAAATGAGGGAAAAGAAGCAATTTTTGTTATTTTTGGAATAAATTTGCATAAATTACCATAATTAATTAATGGAGAACAATTTCAAAATTCTGTGTAGAAGTTTAGTGTACCAAAGTTAGCTCTACGATATAAAGCAAACCAAATCAAAATCGGTCGAGAAATGAAGGAGAAGAAGCCTTTTTTGTGATTTCGAATAAATTTGCATAAATTAGCATAGATAATGAATTTCACGATTCTGTGTAGAAATTTTAAATACCCTCCTAGCCCTATCATATGAAACAATCAGAATCAAAATCGGTTGAAAAATAACGAAGAAGAAGCATTTTGAAAATCTTAATGTTGATGCCACAACAAAGTCTAAGTTTGTTGACCTTAAATGGCCTTTGACCTTAACTTAGTGACCTGAAATTCTACTCACATGATTGGAGAGCCTTGATAACCCTATAGTCCAAGTTTCATTGACTAAGAACTTATACTTACAAAATTATATCAAAAATTCAAAAACTTAACCTTAGGTTAAGTTTTCGATGATGATGCTACAACATAGTCCAAGTCTGTTGACCTGAAATGACCTTTGACCTTGACTTTGTGATCTGAAATTCTACTCACGTGATTGGGGATACTTGATTACCCTATAGTCAAAGTTTCATTGACTAAGAACTTATACTTTAAAAATTATACCAAAAATTCAAAAACTTAACCTTAGGTTAAGTTTTTGATGTTGACGCCGTCGCCGTCGCCGTCGCGGCCGCCGCCGTTACCGGAAAAGCGGCGCCTATGTCTCGCTTTTTGCTACGCAGGCGAGACAAAAACTGATAAACACTAATCCTTAACATTATCATGATAAGGTGCATAAACATTAAAAGGTAATTTTGAATTCAGTCAGGAAAGAAATTTCTCAGATGAAATTGAGTGACTTATTACAGTTCTCTGTAGAAAGTTAACACTACTTTTAAAGAACTGTAAATACTTTCATGCCAATTGGTTTCCCATCAAACATTTTCTGCTTTCTACTGGGGAAACGGTCTACCGTAAAGTACAATACCCTCAAATGATTCATTAGTTCTTTGTATACATCAAGAAAATTTCAAGAATTATCGCAGCCTCTTGGTCAACTTTCACAAAATATGTTGTTCTAAACATGGGCATATATAGTATATAATAGTATAGAGTATAGTATAGAGGGCCTGACATTTATAACAACTCTCCAGCAATGAATGTTGTAAATGGGACTACACACTCGATTGGTGTTGGTAATATAATTGCTCTTATAGCCTATTTCACTTGTAAGGCACATACAAAAAAAGACATTTAAAGAAAAAAGAAAAAAAGATAATTCAATTTGTAAAAAAACATGCGAACCTCATTCCCCTACAAAAAAATTTTAAATATATATGATTCATGTATATAATATGATATACCAAGAAAGGTCAAATGAACCATGAAAGCAAAAGGTAGACTCATTTGGCAAGCCTAGGCACACTACGGAACAACTACAGACTATGTTCGTAATAATTTTTCAAATTACAGATTTATAATTGTATTATTACTCTGCCACTTTTTGGTAATTTATGTGCATATTTTTTCTCTTCAGGTCAATATATTTACATAACATTTTACAAAATTAATGTTTTTCATTATTTTGAGGATCCACATTTTACAAACTCTGCTTTTCAGTGAATCCCTCTTTTTCCACAAGTTTACTTTAGAAATATAAAAGAAGTATTATACTGGGTATTTATGTATACTTTCTATTTGATAACTTTAAACCATGAAAAATGCATTAGGTATTTAGTTGAATATTGAATTGTATATCTGTTCTGTTGGAAATAAAAAATAAAACTGAAACTATTCCAGTGATATAATCCAAAATATAATCTGCATATCATTCCCCTCGGTCACCGAGTAGTGGTTGGAGCTGTTTCAGTGTTTCTCAAAAGCAATCGGATGCCCTGCAATATCATGAAAATTTAAAAAAACATGAAAATAAACAGGCATGTTCCCACACATAATGATTGGTAATATATAAGGGATTATTTACAAAAAGGTAATCAATTTTATTTGACTAGATGAGAACATTTACTGTAACACGTTTAACTAAAGGTAATCTGGAAATTGAATAACTCTCAATCAATGATTAGATTTAGTTTATGGAGCTAAATGCAAGTAACACTTCATATTTGATGGATATCACTTTGGGAACAAGATGGCTCCATGCAGTACTAGGTCTATGGGAATGAGAGGATTCAATAATCAATAGGTTACAAATGTTTGACTCACTTGAACGAGCTTCCATCACGCTACTGAAGTATCTAGTTCTAAGGATCCCGTCTTTGTCACCTGGGGATAGTACCACACCATTCTTCGACAAGAAGAACTTGACGCCACCTACATGTTCAAGTATCATGAGAGGACATGAAAGGAGAAGAATCAATTTACACCAACCAGTTTGGCTTCACTCATTATGATTTAAGGTTGAACAAAATGAATAAGTGATTGCAAATATAACAAAGTAAAATGTTCCAGAACTATATTGCTGTGAATGAATGGTAGACAAATAACCCACTAACATACATGGACAGCTCCAGCAATTTTATAAGTGACATCAATGCATGAAAATAGAGTAACCATGATATTAGTACCAATCAATTCAATGCAGAGGATCTTATATGATAGCCCTACTGATACATTTTTATGATATCAATCCTATCATCTCCCTTTCCCTTCTATCTCGCTCTTTCTTTTTCTCTCTTCCTCCTCCCCCTTCCTGTTCTTTCACCTTTTCTCCTTCTTCATGTCTATTCTCTTCCCTTTTCTCTCTCTGCCCTAGCACTAAACTCGTTATTTTACACTTTTTTTCTTCATTCTTAAATACAAGTTTGACTTTTTCCTAAAAAGTGGACCTAGCCTATAGCTTTACAAGCTCTGCATCTTTTATAGGTTCCTCCACATTTTCTCAAATTATGATGTAATTAAGAATGATTTTTTTTAACAATTCTTTTATAATGATTCAATGTACATCATTAAAAAATTGCAACATTATTATTGTACCGATTTTGGTAATGCACTGCTTTGTTTTGTTTATGTTTTATTATATGTATGTGATATGAGGGAGTGGAAAATCAATTTGAACCTTGAGCAATCCAATGGTATCCAATAGAATCCAATAGTACAAACATTGTACAGATATCATACATGGCAGAGCAAAGGATGCTTAATGACTGCCTATATGGCAGATCTGTCTTGCTAGAGATTTCAATCTGATCCCCTTAACACAACAAGCCAGTAATAAAAACAAGCAAACAAAATCATAATCATAATCCACTATAACCAAGACATATATGTGGCACTATGAGCAGTACAAAGCCTACCCAATGGCACCCAAACAACTGATTTTAATTTCTCTTCCTGGCAATGATTAAATAATTTTGCTATCCTTATATTCTCTTCAATGGCATTTTGAAAGGATGAACCAACGATGAAACCCCACACTGTCCCTTCCTATATGTAACTCATTTGAGAATCATAAGTCAATTAATTACCTCTCAATGCTGCAGGAAGATCAATGAATATCATCACTTGACAGGATCTCCGCATTCCTGTAAGAGAAATAAAATATGGCATCTAAAACATCAAATTATGGCACATTTTATTTTATAATTGAATATAGAATAAGTATTGATACTTGTAATCAAAGGCAGATTTTTTCAGAAAGTTATACAAACTGTAGGTTACCAGTACATGGCAATATCTGATTCCCCTAGACATAATACATGTTTCTAACACATGTTCACAATCGTCGAAGTAGAATGGCAGTTCAGGTGTAGTGTACATAATACAGAAAATTACTAACCACTGATGACTCCATCAGCTCCCGGCACACCCTGGGCAAAGTGAATGTGAGTCCTGTTCATCCTCTTCAGTCCCTACCATATAAAATGAAGAGAGAACGAGAGAGTAGATAATGAGTGATGAGTATAAGGAAGAATACATGAGATAATGAGTAGGCAAACAAACAGATAATGAAAATGAAGAGATACAAAGACAGTAGAGAGGGAAAGAAAGACACTCAAAATGAGTTGAAGAGAAAAAGAGACAGGAAGAAACAAGAGGGAATGTGTGAAGGGGGCGTAAAGGAATGAATACAGGCATAGAGTACCGAAGCTGTGACGTCATAAAAATCTATTTTTAGAATTTCTCTATTTTTTCTTCATTTTCCGAAAGAGTATCAAAAATAATGTCCAAATGTTGAAAACCAATTGAATATATTAAGTATTGATTGAGATATGATCATCTGAATGAATATATTTCCAATAGGAACTCGGTGTTACATGCTCTGGCTCCTAATGGTTAGGAGCCAGAGCATATAACACTGAGTTCCCATAGGCAATCTTTTTATTCAGATGGTCACTGCTTGAGTACCGGTACACTATTCCCTCTGTGGGATCCCGTGTGCAGGAATGCAAAGCTTTCATACAAATAGGTGTAATCTAAAAATTGAAACAATTCCAAACGGAGGTGACTTGAAAAATAATACCGTAATAATAATAATAATAATTCTTAAACATCAGTGCTATAACTAGTACCATACCTGTCTGCGGATCTGGTCCCAATGCCTGAAATAAGTTCCATGGACTACGGTTCGAAAACGACTGGCATCAGTAATGGGTTCCAGCTCTGGTTCAGGTACCTGAGAAGAGAAATGGTAAGAGCTCACAACGTAAGCAACAGAGATGGCAGCATGTGATTATAAAAAAGCAATTCAAGTCTCTCATTCGATCTAGTCCACGCTACTTTGCATTTGATAGTAAATGGCTCTAATTCAAGCATATTTAGAGATTGATTTTTTTTTAATGGAAAATTCATAACTCACTGTATTTTTTCCCTTGACAAAAAACATTGAATTCAGGGATCTAAGTTAAAAGTAATAAAGGAAGGAAATGCATACGGCATTGTTTATTCAAATAACACTTTTTTGACAACTGCTTAAAACTGTCTCTCATTTGATAACTTGAGCCCAAGAAAAGATAAAATGTGATACTGTAAACACAGAAATTTGTGTGAATGGCAGCATTATAGTGCCGTGATCAACTGATGTCACAAATATGGACCACTCATAAGATCTGTAAATATTTCTTAGGTAACCAGTGCGCCTGGTAACACAAATATGAGTTAGAGATTGATTTCCATTTTGATATGAATCACTATGTAACATTGATTGATCATCGCTAAGATATGTGTTATGTGAGCCTCAGGCCCCATGACAATGTTTATTATGTTGATTTATCTTAACTAATTTATATTTTAAAAAACGAGCCTTACGTCAAAGGAATGTCCTTGGTTAGCACAGATCATCAGTTCACCAGTTTCCTCATTGGTTTTGAAGGAGAATCTCTGTTTGTCATTGGAAGCCACAACCCTTCTAATGTCGGCCTCTGTAAAGCGCTTGAACATCTTATGGGCTAAAAGATCCTTGACTAGAACATATCCCCCTGTGGTTATTTTTTGAAGAAATTTTTGGAAAAGCACAATAAGAATCAATTATTTATATAAAGAAAGAAACATAATACATAATGTATAGTATTGGTGAATATAATAGAAAATATAATACTAACATCTGAGAATGGATTGTTAGATATATATATATATATAAATATGGCAGCAGACAATCCACATATATCTTAAATTTGTCCATGACTTTATAACAAAGACAGAGTACAGTTTGACGCATTAATTTTTACAATATAGTTCTATGAGTACGAAGTGGAATTTGGAACCTTGTATTTTGCAACATGTCTCAGGCATATAAACCAATGCCACCGCCATGACAATACCAAACATATCTTGCAAAATAATAAATCTTGTTATAATTCATCATACGTTTCATCAATTCAATGATTGTCTTTTTTTCAATGCTAATCCTATTATTCTTAAGTCAATTACTCTCTGCTAGCTGCTTACCTGGATAAATGTTGAAGCCCAATTGCTGTGCTCTGTGCCTTAAAACCAGCGAGAGAAGTTTAGACAGTCTGACGTCCATGTTTTGGAGTGAGGATGGCCAGTTAGCTCGGTGGATTAATTAGGTATGTGTGAGGGAGCTGGATGGAGTGAGCAGTGTTAATTCCAATGGGCAAATGGAGACAGTTGAGCTGCAGAGCTGTCGGTGGTGGGTTGTTGAACCTAGCGTGCGAATTTGTAAACTGTCTGTCTTACAGCCTTAGTACATGTATGTAGATCAAACTGAGATTGAAATATCATGATGATCTGGATCTTTCGAAACTATATGAAAGAAATCCTCTCGTTTGAAACTCTGCCAGCTGCAGTCGTGTTGCAATGACATACTAGATCTATATGATTGTCTGCTAGCCAGCCAGCGCCAGGTGATTGCGCAATATTGTTGTTGTTGTTGGCGATTAGATGGCGCTCTTCAATCTTGTCAGATTTTCTGCGCCACGGCGTTCCTTCCTTGATGTTCATCTTTTCGAACTGTTGATCTTGGCTCACTTTTACTGATCAAGTTTTCGGCTCTCTCTTTAGTCTTTCCAGACTCATATTTTCGAGTTCAGAGTAGGCCCACCTGTCTCAGCGAAGTGCTAATATGCAAGATTTAGTACATTCAATTTCCCCTCACCATAATTAGTATTAGACCATTTTAATCATAAGGATGTCATCTCTATGATTTTACAGATAATGCTCAACCATTTCAATCATAAATTAATTCATAATCATATACCCACAGAGGGAAACGCACTATACGATCATTCCAAGAGGACTCTAAAATCCGATAAATTTCCTAATAATTTTATTAAATCTAATGTATCACGTTTCAATGGTCATTGCATTATCTTTCTCTTTCATATTTCTTGCAATGTAATAAAAAATGTAATATTATATTACATTTCTGAAACTTGACATGGATACATAATTCATGTTCATGTTGATTTTGAATGTGCTGATATTTTCCTTTTTTGCGACATTTGGCTGAATTTTCCATTAAAAGAAATGTCTTCTATTTAATGAGGACTCCCATTGAAATTGCTAGATCTAGTATAAGCTGAAGACAATCATGTGGTTTGACGATTCTTCCTTTATGTATAAGATTTCTAGTTCATTGTTTTCTTTCAGCGCTTTTTTTAACACCGCAATGGGAAGGTATCCATTAAAAGTTTATCTCTATATCAGTTCTGACATTTTGAGTATTTTAATTTTGTACAAAATGTCGGCAACAAGGGTATTTCGAACTTTTTGGCTGCTTTCTAGAGCCTGAATTGCTGACAACGAATCTGTTAAGAAAACAACTGACATTCCTGTACAATCTTCTAGCCACTGCAAGGCCATCACTAGTATACCGCTAATATTTCTGTTTGATGATGATAACCTTTGATGATAACCTATAACATTTTGTTATTCCCAATTCTGGAATACAAAAAGCAGATCCGATGCCTTTGTCCTATGTTTTCAATCCATCAGTGTACATTTTTAAACAACCTTTCCATCTTGTAGGTATTCTTTCTAATACACAGTTCTTCATATCAGGAAGAGAATTTTGTTTCTTATTATAATTGTGTGAACAGGCGCGTACACAGGGGGGGGGGGGAGTTGGGGGGTTAAACCCCCCCCCCTTTGGTATTTTTTTTTTGTGTGTAAACCCCCCCCATAACCCCCCTAACCCCCCCCCCCCCAACGGAGCAAAATTTCAAATTTTCAAATTTCGAGACCAAAAAAAAAAAAAATGTCCTCTTACACCCCCCCCCCTCTTATTCAGCGGCTGGCTGAGTCGTTGCGAAATTTTTAAATGTTAACCCCTCCCCCCCCCCCCTTGAAAAGATCCTGCGTACACGCCTGTGTGTGAATATAATAATAAGAAGAAAAAAAACAGGTATTATTTCTTGTTTCTGATAGAGGCTACCTCCGACTATTGTGCTTCGCCACAGAGAATCGACTCTAAACCCTAATAGGGTTAGTTAAAAGGTCTATCGAATTGATTCTCCCTTTGTCTATTCTCTTTCTCCTTTTATAAAATCTCAATTTTCTTTAAATCTCAATTTCTTTAAATCTCAATTTCTTTAAATCTCTCTCTCTCTCTCTCTCTTTCTCTCCCTCTCTCTCCCCCTCTCGATTATCCACATCGTCTGTCAAGACCGGAAAGCCAATGTTTGCTTACGGTTGCTTACTGTATGCGCATAAAAGCTTTTACTCCTTCGTCGGACTGACGTAGGGTAGCGTAGTGTTGCGTAGACTTGCGTAAAAATGCGTACTTTCTGCGTCTAGTGTCTACGCCGAAATTATAAACGAAAAAAACATTAAACATGTTTAATTCTTTGCGTCCATCTCGCGTACCCCTTTGCGTCCCTCAACGTATAGTTACGTAGGTCAGCGTAGGACAGCGTACGCTCGGCGTAGTCGGTACCGAACACTACGCAACTCTACGTATGACCTGGTGTGAACGGGGCTTAAGTCTATACTGTTTACGCTATATCCACAGAATGTCCCAAATTATTCTCGAGCAGTAGAGATTCTATGTTTTTTAAGCAACAGCGCCATCTTCGGATCGTACTACAAACAAGGTTATACAAGTCATGTAGTTGTACGAATATAGCATAATAATTTTGGAGAACTATCATGTCTAAATCTCTCCCTCTCCCCCTGAAAACATGTATTTCAATATACATACAGAAAGAAAGAGAGAGAGAGAGAGAGAGAGAGAGAGAGAGAGAGAGAGAGAGAGAGAAGCCTCTCCACTTCTAGATATTTCTGATAAAACACAATCGCAAAACTCTCAAGAAATCAATTGAAATCCAATTTCAATACCCTATTCCCTTGACACGTTAGCAACCATGCAAGTACTTTCGAAAAATCATTCTGAGGCAATTTCAATAGCCTTATGCCTCATCAATTCAAATATGCGTACATGACAATGATGTATTTTGTTATTCGAACATTACTTGTATGGGACATACAATTTTAGGGTGTTAGAATTGCCCTTGAGTGGATTAAAGAATATAGTTGCAATTGTGTTTATTGTATATCCCAAAGAAACATGACCCTGGATCAACTGCAGATACTTGATAAAAAAAAATAGGATCTACGGTCTAAGGGGCAAGCCTGTTGCCTCTTTCGTTGGTCATATAACTTGGTATTAAAATATTGATGAACGGTTTGACGATCTGGATTACCGAATCCTGCATTTCATATTTACAGCTGGATAGGAGCTGACATCGCTTACATCATAGGTCTATTTATACCTTCTGACAGAAAAAAAAGTTAATCTTCAAATTGTTCCCTTTTCCCCTCGAATTACTGACTACACAATCAGCTATTCTAGATGTCTTCCAGACAGTTTCTCTATACTGATGCAATTTAACAAGTGCAGAGACCAATACCAACATCACCTTCAGACCTACATCCACAAATTCTAAGCAGGGAGGAGTTTGGGGGGGGGGGGGGGGGGGGGGAGTGAGTCGATATATTTTCAGGATGGAAAGGATGGATATCTATCGAGGTACTGGTCCGAATTCTAATCTTGAATACTGCACCTATACACATGCACTTACGCATCTGCAAGAATCTTCAGCAGTGAAAGAGGCAGATTATCCTGAAGAAAAAGAAGTAATACGATCCACTATTTTTGATACCGTTGTTATTATCACGGGCAAAAGCGCCCTTGTGCCGCATGATAATGATGAATATTATTGTTGTTTTGACTTCTTTTTTCCTCCAATAATTGATATACACTAAAAATAGAAAACTGATTAAAATTGCCAAGAATCTCTATACATAGGCTGGTGATATAATTCATTCGATGTTCATTGTTTTTTGAGAAACAAGTTGAAAAAAGTCATTAAGCGCAAAGACCTTCAAGGAGAGGAAGAGAGAGAGAGAGAGAGAGAGAGGGGGAGGGAGAGAGAGAGAGAGAGAGATAGAGGGGGGGGGGAGATGAAGTCATTGAAGCTCATTATGATTGAAGGGCCCTCAAGAAGAACATTATTGGGATTGGTAAGACTACTCTGAGTAAACAAAACATGTAATTATCATCATCATCATCAGAGAGAGAGAGAGAGAGAGAGGGGGGGGGGGGGACATGTGTGTGTGAAATGAGACAAAGGGGTATGAGAGTTGTTATATACATGTATATATTGATTAAATTTATCAACTGATATTCATATACAAGTGATTCAAATTATCACAATAAACAAGTAAGTTAAATTTTCAGAAGAGGGGATAAGAATTACACGTCAAACATTTGCCATTGTCAATATCGTTGTCTTCTAATTTTCCATTTTCATTCGCAATTTTAGCTATTTCCAATTTAGAGGGTTATCAAGATAAAATATAAAAGATGTAACATTATATTTTGTGGACATGAGCTTACAGATTCACTTGACTTTCAATGCATAAAGAAAAGAAAAACAAAATAAGGAACGGAGCACAAATTAGGAAGAAGGGATCGGAACTGAAATTATATATTCTATGTTATTCCAGCTGGAATTCAGCATGGTATTGTGTTCACATTATAATCATCCAGGCTGGAAAAAACTTCAAACAAAAACTGAACGTGTCTCTAAATATCAGATAGGGACACTCGATATGTCTTCATCGTCTCCTTAAGATTCCTCGCTTGCGTGCAGGCAAGACAAGCTAGATCATCCATATGCATCAGCATGGCGCCCGAAACTCCACAGTGGCCTAGCTCCAGGGGGAAGGAGGAGGGGTGCATGGGACCAGCCCCATCAAATGGCGAAAAAAATAATGAAAATGAACCTAAAGAAAGGGAGAGGGAGGGGGAGATGAAAGCAGATGATGATACACCTCTTACACCCTACCATATCCAATGACATCGTTAAACCTGTTGAATTAATGCGCTTTTTATCAAACACGTATCGAAGACAGGTGCATGCCCCAAACGATGTTGATGCCCCCATTGATATCTTGAGACATGCAGGCTATGCCACAGATATCTTTATATTTGTTTTAGGTCGTACTTGTATCACACCGAGGCTTCCAAGAACAGACTTCTCTGGCGCTTTAGATTTGAATCGTCAACATCGTTGTATTAAAGTCATTGCATACAGAATAATGTGTATATACCCGCACGTATAATATTGCAACATGTCTCTGATGAAAGCATTTTTTGCACATGTATTTATTTCCCCTTTCAATATTTCGGAACGTTCAGGTGGGCTGCCTCCATCATTAAAAATTGAAAATGAAACTTGCACTGGCGTTTGTAAATAGTTGCTCCTATTTCTGCCGATTATATTTATTAAATCTTTCTGAGGGTCAACCATCTTCGTAAAAGTCACTCATTCATTTAATTCAATTATTTGTCCAACGTACAACTAACATGTATTATTGTTTTACTCATCACACAAAATAGCCTCAGACAGAGTTTACGAGGATAAAGATGGGAAAATTGATATAAGTTGAGTACTAGCCTAATGCGTAAATACGAAAATTTTCATCTTCATTTGACTCGTATCCGGTTTTTTTCCTTCTACTAAGTCATTCATTCTTATTTGTCTGCACAACAAAGCAGGAAAAAAATGTTCTTTACTATCACATAAAAGCAAATCTTCATGAACAAAATCCTAATGTAAAGAGGAGATGGATAATAAAGGAGTGTAAACAACACAAGAAGGGAAAACAAGATTAGGTAAAGGAGTTTAGATGTTACACAATAAGTAATTTTATCATAAATATTTATTGTGCATGTAATTAAATGTCAAAGTAAAAGAGACGGATCTAGTGTGGACGACATTAATAGCTTGGTTAGAAGATTGATAGGATTGTTTTTGTGAATGGTGAATTGTAATGAATCTGCTTGGGCATTTATTGT